CTTGTGGAATTGTCCAACCCTATCTAAATAGTTGCGCTATATTCCGTTTGAGCTCGTTTGTAAATCGTGTAGCATATGCACACTTTGAACTTCAAGAAAAAATCTTATTTTTTGCAGTTCTTCCATGACAGCTCTCGCCTTTATCATTACAATGAATCTTGCAACAAAAATGAAAACATCAAGTTAATATTGATTCATATTTATGAAATAACAATTGCACAATGATAACATATACATCAACAAGTTTTGATTGTAAAAACATTCAAACAAAATACTTTTATCTTTGTCTGTAATATATAACTTCAGTCTCAGGTTTTGATTTGTAATATGTAACAACAAAGTTACATACTCTCTTCAATTGATCATTGAAGTTTATCTTTATTGATTGTAGTCTACTATTGTCACATATAACGAGATGTGGATAGGTGACTCTCTGGATATCGTGTATGGAATCCAAGAAGAATGGTTGAATGATCCAAAAGCACACTAGTAAATTATTGTTTTATCCAAGCAATTTTTGAGCTTGGTTTGTCATTGGTTCGTCTTTTCCAAAAACTTGTTACAAATTCTATATTTCTTTTGCCTTCACCGTACACATAATCGTCTAATCTTTCACTTGAAATACGAGCTAACTCCACAAAAAAATTATGCATTTCCCAAGCTCATTGCAAATCATCTACATGGAATGTTCATATAGGAGGTGATTGAAAGAGGATTTTACTATCCATTGTGACACAAGTGTTACTTTTTGTTCAAGAAAAAAAACCATGATCTAATTTTGATTGGGTAAACGTGGCCAAGAAAATTGTCTCTGCATACGATAGACACCTCTCCTTCCCTTAAGCTCATAGATGCGTTGAGGTATATCCATGTCTAAAACCTAACCTGAACTATCTGCTAAACAAAATTATCACAATGAGTATATTCATCAGCCTAAACCCTTATCATAAAATCTTTAAAGAAAAATTAAAGATAATTTGAACTTCATCAAATCTACTAAAATGAAACTAAAGTACTTTGAACTTCATCGAAACAACCCCAAAAAAATAAAATAGTTTGAAACTGAAATAGAAATTGATAGTTTGATAGTTTTTGTACCTGAACACATTTCAATACCGTACCTAAACACTTGAGAGGTTTGCTTCCCATATCAGTTGTGGCTTCTCGTTCGGTCTTGTCAGTGGTATTTCTTGATTACGAGCTTCAAAGAGAGCGTGGCAAGCAAAAGCAATGCGCAGATCAAATCTGGCATCAAATCAAATGTTTTGGTATGTAGACATTGATCACAAGCCATCAAATTTAAAACGTCTCACACAAACGGCTGATCACCTTTGGAAAAAACCTTGCCACATACCTATATATCCAATTGAACACTAGAACATGAGAAATGAACAAAATTCTTGTTTCAATATTTTGCAAGTACACAACTAGCTGATTTTTATGCGTTTTCTCAAGTAGAGAGTACATGAACATTGATTTATAGCAGCCTCTGATATGGTCAATCTTTATATCTGATTTTGAAACAGATGAAAAATAAACTATTTGGAATAACAGTCAATCTCTCATGATATATTTCCTCACCCATGTACATTTGCTTTTGAAGTTGATCATATGAAGAAGATATGATGACACTCAATCCGGCCATTCATGTGAGATGCATTTTCACCTCAAGAACTGTGACAAAGAGGTGTCAGAAGATCCACATTGCAAATTGGGAAATGCGCAAACGAGTCAAGGGTAAGAACTTCAACATGGGCTCTCGATCTCTGCACTTTCCACAAACACATGAACTCATGAAACAACTTCGAATGATCCTCATCTTTGATATGAAGTCTTCATGGGATGCAATCTGTCCGCGTGCGGATGGAATTGATTGTCCTCGAGCCCAAATCCGCACTCGAGAGTATTTCTTCTTCTTTTGATACAGGTTCTCGGCTTGTCAAACTGCGGAGTTTCGTGAAAAACTGACACAAAAATTCCAAACGAGTAAAAGAGTGAGCGTGCAAAATGCTAAGCTCTGAGTTATGAAGACGGTGACGGTGATCCCCCAAACGGTGTACCCTTGCCGTCAAACCGGATGGGATACGGTCGGGATTAATCTAGCCAAAAGTCATAGAAAGTACATAAGAGGAAAATTCTTCTTGTATGTACACCTTTACGCCGTCAGATTGTGTCACGACCATTTGTTGGACTGAAAAGTAGGTTGTTCAATCTTGATTTGCATTTGCAACACGCCACGCGTCGCGAATTTGAGAAATCCGATAAGAGCAATGTTCAAAGCTGTAGCATAAAACTAGCAATAAAAGCAATTGCATAAAATTCAAAGCTTATCAAGGAAAAAAATTAAAAATTCATGAGACTTAGTAAAAAGTGAAATTTTTTTTCTTCAACATAAAATATTTTTTTCATGAAAATTAGGGAAAATTTTATTAAAATTTATTTTTGAATAATGTTTATTTCATTGCAATTTTGACTCACTTTTTATATTATAGTTAAAAGTCCAATCTGCTAAAATTTAGTTTATAAAGAACTAAACATCCGAATTTTCATATTCTGATATTCAAAATTGTGATAAAAATACTTCATAATGAACCTGATGTTATAACATCAATTCCGACGAATATTTCAATTAATTTTTTTTGTATGCTCAAATTTCAAGTAGATTTTGCCCATGAAAAGTGTTTTGTACCTAAGTGTTGTGATTACACTAATTACATTTATTATCGTTAACACCTACACAACCATCTGCCACGCCAAACACTATGTGCAAAAGAAGTTAAGACCTATCTTTCAAGTTTTTCATTATAGATTGGTTTCAAAATATTCGTTAATTATAATCAAATTGTTGAATAAAAAATGTATAATGGATTCAACATTGTTGCTTTGTATTAAGTCAACATATTTTCCAACACATTTAAGTATAACTTGAAGAAAATATTTTAACTGATATTGGGTCCACTCATCTGCCAAGAAATTAATGTCTGCTTTATCTGTTCTAAATAGACTAGATTAGATCATTAATGTTTGATAGTATGATATTTTTTAAATAAAAAATTCATTATTTACAAATATCAATGAAAAAAATAGCTTTTCATAGACAACTTTTGCTTTATCTTATACGAATAATATTTCAAATTTTTTTATAAAATTCAAAATTAATTATTTATTAACTAGGAAAAACAATTGTACAACATAAATTGATTTGAAGCTCTGGTATAAATTTGTTAAATGTTGGGAAATATATATATGCAAGGATTGATTCTATTGATAATCTAATTCATACTTAATTTTCTCTATTGAAGAATTCATGTTTAACACAATTTAAATCTCAATTCTTAGCTTGTTTAGCATTCAAAACAGCTTCAGATTTGTGGTTTTTAATTAAAAAAAAGAAGAAAGTAAACTTTCTGAATTAGTTAAAAAATATTTTATTTTGGTATGTAGTACTTAAAGAAGTATGTTTTCTGGATTTTTATGTTCAGAAATCTGTAAAATTAACATTTTTAATTATAAATAACTTGTTATTGATTTTTTTCAAATTGCCGGCCAACTATTGGGATGCAATTAACATTGTCTTAATTTTTTGTCCAATTAATCATATCAACATTTTTTGATTTAAAATTTTTCCTGCAAAGTTTGTGTGCTTTGAATTATAAATTTATCGCAGATAATGGTTTTAAATCAATAGTTTATTATGACACACTTTTTTTATTTATACAACTTTCTAAAAAAATGATGAATATTTATTTCATTTCTCTACCAGAATTGAAGCATTGAAATGCATCAAAATGATCCAAAAAATATGAAATTGATTGAAATTTTCATTGAAAATTTTTTTATTGAAAATGTAAATCACTGTGAATGAAATAAAAAAATACACAAATAAAGATTTCAAGACATATTAAATAAATATATATGTGTATCGCAAAGATTTGGATACAAAATACAAAATACATTTGATCATCACAATGTTGAAATTTCAGGAGTAAAATTGTTTAATTACAACAAAAATAACTTGAAATCTTATATGATATGAATGTTTTCGTCATCATAGAAAGCAACAACTTATGGACTTTTAATTTTTAAACCCTAAACCCTACACGTATGTTACAAGGAAAGTTGAAACGTATTAACACATCATCAATACAAAAACCTACATGCACAATGGACAATCACTACTTACTAGAATTCTCCAAGTTATATTAAGAATCATCATGAACTTTTGTATATATAGTTTAGTCAAGGAATGATCTAGTTATCACTCAGTTTGGGTTAATTATCCTACATTAGGTTATTCTGAGAGATAATTAGCCGTTCCCTTAATCAATTATACAAAATGGATTAAGCCAACTTAACTTAGATGAAGATCTGATTTAATCCTTATCAGAGTCATTCAGTGTAAGAAAATAGATTTACTCATTACCTTTAACGCATCCTGAATCTTCTGCTGTTTTAATAAATATCATCATCATCTGATATGCTTGTCTTTGTTAAATAAAGGTATACATCACATATATATTATTGTATTGACAAGATAAAAAATACGAAAAAGTGCATTTTTATTGACTTGATTGGAATAACCGTTGTGATAAAAATGATAGTAATTTATTGCTATGTGTACGTTTCAAGACTGAAAGTATTTTATTCTATCTTTTAATTTTAAAATAAAATTTATTGTATGTATTTTCTGCTACTGCTATATATAATCATCATGAGAACTATTTGTGTAAAAAAAATTCAATAATTCTTAATCAAGACACATGAGTATACATACTCTCGCCTAATAGAGCACATTGGCTAATGAGAAACAAGTCACAACACGTCATTCTAATTGAAATGTGTGTAGCGAGCAATCTCGAGAATACTGGCTCTAGATAATATTTCATTGGCCAATGGTCGCCAATGGCCAATGGAGTATGTAAAATATAGAATGTGAAAAAAAGACGCAGTGGACTGGAAACCAAAACTCAAAACTCCTAGTTTGAATATCGGAGTCTTGGCGGGAATCGCAGGCGTCGAAGGCCGGAGCGGAGCGTTCGAGCTGTTCCGATCCGAGGCGCGTCTGCAAGGACGACGGTCTCGACGTCATGCCAGACGAAGCCTTCCGACCCCGCCTCCGACAACGAGGAGCGACATTCTTCGAGCATTAGTTCCGCAATTTGGCGTCCGATCGAGCTCAGTTTAATGCGCACATGCCCGAGTTATCGCAGGGTCGTCTCGGCCGAGGTCTGTCAGCAGGAATTGGACAGCGCTGAAATCCACCGCAGTCCTCCAATCTCCTCATCGCGACTTGCCAATTTGGAAACTGCGTTTCTACACGACACGGTGTCTCAGAGCAGGCTGTTCAGTGAATTTCATCAAAGGCTTGAGCAGTCTTAGACGATCGGGGTCTCTGTGCCATCAGGTTGGTTTGTTCGAGGTCTCGAAATCGGAATTTACTCGGGCACAGGAACGGGAAGGTCGGTTTGAAGGGCGGGCTTTGAGAAGGGAAGAGCGCAGTGCGGTCGGCGAAAAATTCTCTTGAAGCACGAAATTACAAGGAGGCGGGATGGGGGACGATGGGTTTGGTTCTGTCGCTCCCGCGCAGGTCAGGACGAGAGCGATCAACGTGAATGAGCAATGCAAGACTCCTGTCGCTGGTAGAACACCGAGTGGTGCGCAGAGCATTACCCCGTCCAGGCCGAAAACTCCGCTGAGATTGTTGATGTCGCCCGGGCTTGCGTTGTTGAGTCCGAATGATGACGAAGAAGAGAGGGCTATGGCGCGAGCTGCCCGAGCAAGGGCGCAAAGACGGTCTCTTGGATTGGAGAAGGATAGGGCCGGTTTGGGAACGCCCTCCCTTGTGTCTGAACCAGATAACATACTGAGTCACGACGCTTTGAAGAATCTGCTGCAGAATTGTCTGAAACTTTCAGCTGCAAATGTGAGGCAGACCAATTTCATTCGTTTGCTCCCAAACTGCAGCACTTGATTTGCAGTAGATAATTCTTTCTGAGAAGGAATATGTGTTCCCTCGTAATTGTTTTGTTTCGTGAAATTGTATTCGATGCATTTTTACCCTGGTTGCAATTTGACTCTAAAGTGCAACTTCTATAGTGCACGGAGCACCAAAACTCACCTGCAGTTGGTTGTTGTTTACTTTATGATTGTACCCTGCAGAAAATAAATCAAGGCAATACGTGGGATTTGAAACTCATTGATCACTTGAGTGACCTGGTTAAAAACGACAGTGAGGATGAAGGTCGAACGAATTTTCAAATGGTTGGCTTCTAATTCCATATTGAGCTAATTATACTGTACACAGCTACTTTTGAAAATTTCACAATACTCTTCACTTTCTGAAAGATCAGTTTACCTTCAATGAGTTACGGACCGAAGTTGATCCATTTTGCAGTTTTTCAACCTGTTTGCAGGCAAGTTGCACACTAGAAACAGGAGTAAAAATCTATTCGTACAGAGTGGATTCTGTACATTCTGAGGCATACAAGTTGATGGGAGGCCTTAGCCGCAATGCTAATGACACTTCAAGGACAGAGGGTCAGTTGTCGAGTTTCCATATCCTTTGTCCATATTGACATCTGCTACTCTTTACGTACATGACCGACCAGGCACAAAGTGCTTCAGTTTAACAAATAACACAAAATTTTTGTTTTCCAAAAATTTTGTGTTATTTGACTTGATCCATCGAGTTTGTGAAGCTTTCATATTAATTAGGCCTATTCATTATGGTTGTCATCAGCCAGTAACAAATCTCATAACGAGAACGAGAATGACTTCAACCAGGAGTCCAATCCAGCGGCTACCGGCCCGAGGAAGGTGACAGGAACAACTTTAGAAACTTCATACGAGGCTTTGAATGCTAAAAAGATTGACGGTATGTTTACTATTTTACGTTTGACGGCATGTCCTTTATGCTTGAATAAAAAGGTCCAAGTTTGTTTCTCAAATTTTGCTTGTTCATGGTCGAAGATGTGTGAAGGCTTCCACTTTCAGCACGCTGATCTGTGTTGTCAATCTCTGCAGTGGCCTTCAATGTGGACCCCCTTTTCCATCAAACATCCGCCCAATTTGACGAAGGTGGGGCAGGCGGCCTTCTTTTGAACAACTTGAGTGTTTATCGTGGATGCGAGATCGTTTTTGATTCTCATGAAGTGCCTGAAAAGGTTATGAAATCTGAAGCCGCAGCTGCGGCTTCCAACGCTCAAACAACTCCTATTGACCTGTCTTTTATGAAAGGTAAGGCCAGGATGAAAGGCTGGGCACCTTGATTTGACACAGATAGTGTATCCATAATGTCACTTACCTTCAACAGGTTTTGTGTTCTTGGATTACAAGTGGTTAAGGTCTCAAGCCGCATGCAAATGGTAACCTTGCTTATATAGCTTGCTCACAATGTAATACTTTAGCTTGCAGTTTCTCAGGAGGTGTCACAACATACCCTTTTGGACTCGTAGCTGACTCTTCGCACTGAGTTCACCTACTTACAGAGTCACAGTTTATTTTTCGATGTACCTTGACAGAAAGCATAGACCAGATGATTTCTCTGCTCTCGAAGGAGACAGAGATTACACCGACGTTGAGGGACATTCTTAAACTCATCTCTGATCCAAGTCGAGCAGTAGCCGAAGCTGAGACGAACCAAAGTTATCCAGCAAATGGAACAACCGGAGATGCCTCTACATTCAGGTGCAACTGCCACTGAGTTCTTCGCTCGGTCCACTCTTGTCTTTTTTCGATGTTTTAGAGCATATTTCAACCCAGAGCAATACGCTCTGACTGGCATTCCACCCCCTGCACTGACCTGCATTCTTGTCATTCGGATCTCTACACCATCACTTTGGATGAAATTATTAGTGCGAATTCTGTCTCAGCTAAAAGTTGGTGACACTTTCTTCTAAATAAGCGATTTTGATGCAGTCCTAGTTTTGATACGATGCAAGATGATGCGGCACCACTACATGATCCCGGTGAAGTTGACGACCATGTGTACGAGGGACTCGATGATTCGTCTATTAACGGAGGCCTCGATGCTCTCAGTCCTCATTCCGAGGCTTGGGGTAATAACGACCATGGACTAGATTTCGAAGGTCGAGATCAGGAGGTATGTCGTCATAGGTGACAGGTTGGACCAGTAGTGAGGAATACCTGATTCTCATACAAGTGGTGGTTTACTAACGTAGGTGACATGTCCTTCTTGGTCATATTCTGTTTTCTAGTTGGGTCCAAATTAAGTATTCTAATGTGCAGGTCATCTCTGTTGCCTTGCAGTTTATCGATGAAGGCGAAATAGACAGACCAGGTGGGGATTCTTGGGGTCAAGATCCCTTGGGCTGGCTAACAGTGGGTGATGGCTTGCTGGGAAGGTGTAATGACTGGGCAGGGCCTGGTCATTGGAAATACGCAAAGCCCAAAAGTAAGCCAGAACACAACGCTAACCCTTTGGACGTGCAAACATTTCGTTGAACGTCATGACTATTGTTCTTCGCTGTTACTAACGTCCTGACTTATCATCTTTGATTTAATTCTAATATCCATCTGTCTCTCGCTAACTTGAATTTCGACTTAAATTGTAGGTAACATGAAGTCTGATTCCACAGACAGTCCAGAGAAACCGAAGATCAAGCGCAAGAAGAAAGAGCCTTATGTTATTGATTTTGAAAATCTGCCTGAGATTGACCGATCTGCTTTCGAGCCTAGCAAGAATCCGCGCAGCTCGTTCATGCCACATAGTTTAACACCTGCAAGTCTTTTGCTTCCTGAAGACTATCACTTTGAGACCTCGAGTCTTCTGAAATTTTTCTTGCGGCCTTCTACTCTGGTACGTTGTTCGGTGTTTAAGTTAAGATAGTTTAGTTTCAATTGATGAATGTAAACTCGGCAGTTGATGTTAGAATCAAGCTCACAACCCATGCGTTCGCCTGTAAGTGAGTCTGAGCCGACGAGGTTGTGTAATTTATTGCCACTGTGTTGGCTGCCAAAACGTGATAGCACGCCCGACCAAGTTATCGTACTTGTATAAGGAGGTTGCACTCTTCCAAGTACTCGATATGAGAATATACCTGTAGGGAAGCTGAGGATCTCGTTAGAGCTCGGTAGACTTGGAGACTGGAACGAAGGCAATAAGTGCTGTTTCTGATCAACTCATGGTTTTTATAGTTATGCTGGGAGTCATTAGTGATCATCGCACCTGCTCTTTTCTTCTTCATTGAGTGACAGAAATGTATTTGTTCTGACCTAATGACATGTTGTGCTGTCAGTGGTTTCGGAGAAAGACGAAAATCAGTCCAGGTGAGCCAGTTACTTCAGTGATACATTACGCAGTTCAGCCAAAAGGAGAATCTTATGCTTGAATGAGGCCTGTCGTCTTGGAACGCAAAGCCTGTAAAAATTGCATGCTTATGTTTTTCTTGTAGCATTTGGGGAGGCAGGACATTGAAGAATGGTTGTCGCCGCGTTTATTCATAAGCAGGAAATCGTCGTCAGTATGGGGTTCGTTTGTCGCATGTCTTCCTCTAACTCACTGAACTTTGTCTTGTAACCGTAGCAGGAAGAGGGAGCACTACGCCTGAAGACTTCACGACTCTGTTCACAGAAGCGAGGTGGGACGACGACGCTCATGAAGCTACAAATGACTGGAGCGACGGTAATGCTCACAGTGATGTCGACGATGGAATTGATATGGTCTCTCAACCACGGAAGGTTCAAAAAATTGAAGTGAACTATGACAAGCATTCGAAGCAAGTTGATGTGCGGGTTCTGAAGCAAGTGCTCTGGAAGCAACTGCAGGGCGGTTCTGCAGTACTTGACCAGGAGGTACAGATCGAGATTAGATACTCGAGAACTTGAGCTTAACTTGAATTTGATTTAGTTTAGATCAACAAGGTTCAAGTTGATCGTTCCTGTTCTATATGTAGTGCTCTGATCATCACCGGTTTGGCAGTGGATGCCATGTCAATCCAGCCAAAGATTGCGATTTGATTTTCTTGGTGATTTATGTTACCACTTCCTCTGATGCATGGTGGTTGAGCGCAGGACAAGAACGAGGAGATGGACGAAAATGGACTGTCCTTCCAAGACATTCTTAAACACATACCAGATGATTGCCCTGCCGCTGCCCGAGAAGACATTTCCGTCCATTTGTGCTTTATATGCCTTCTTCATCTTGCGAATGAACGGAATCTTCGACTGCAGGATTGCCCTAGTATGGATGATCTTCGTGTCTTCAATATTCAGCAAGATAGCTAGGTTGGGATCTATCTCACATAGTTTTCTTTACGGAAACTGAGCGATCCACTTCTTTACACTCCATTTTCGCTGTACATACGTTCTTACTGTTGTAAAGTTGAAGGCAGTATTAGAGTCTCTGCCGCCACTTCCTTGCAGTGCTGAGGATCCAGCGGATTGCTTTACTTTTCGATTATGTGAGCAGTCCCAGTAGTTGCAAGGTGGCATCTTGTACTCCTTTGTCATCGACAGAGCCCCTTTATTATCACTCAGTTCGTCTAGGTCTTTGACTCCATGTTTGCCAGGTCATTGAGATTCACTGACGAACTCCCAGAGATTAACGAAGACGATAAGCTGTGTCGGAGAGATTTCGGAAACCATGTGAATGATACATCCTCATTCATTCATGGAAAACTCCATGTGAAGCTCAAGTATCTTACACCACAATATAACATGTTACGCGGCGTCCATCAAGAAAACTGTGTTAGCAAAGTGATTGAATCGAGTTTAGATTCATACGCGCATAACATCAGGATCCTGAACGAGTGTAACAAGTAGCTGTAGTCTTTATTAAAACAGAAACGACACTCGAAGGAGGAAGGTCTAAACTCTGCCAACTCTCGAGATGTGGACTATGCAAATTAAGGATCAGTCCGATCAGGGAGTCTTATGTCTAGTAGCACGGTCCCACCCAGCTCGAATTGACCCGGATATGCACACGAGCGCAGGGCCCTACCCACTGCAGTTAGCTCAAAGGAATCTAAAGTAAGAACTGACCTAGAGCTAAGAGAAGCTCAGCCCTTCTCATGGCCTTGCTCCTACATATAGTCGAGAACCTTCTCGCTTTAACTAATTCAGCTCGAAAAAGATTGACGAGGTTATCTGGAGCTGTGGGATTGGACAATCTGGAGGTTGATAGGTTCCTTACCTTCAGCATCTAGTAGAAGGCTATTCTTGTGCTATTTGATGATTAGTTTAGTCATTCTTGTTAGAAATATCTATCCATATGTTGCTATGTCTTTCTACCACTTCAGTCTCTCACAGGAAGAGTATCTTGAATCTTCCCCAACCGTTCTATATTCTGTGTCAGAACCTGTATCAGTTGACTTTCCCATGAAGTCACACTTTTAGAAGAACAACCTTTCGTGCGCGTCTGCAGAAATACAGTACTTCAGGTCCCAGAGATTTGCTGAACAAGCGTACTGAGGCGAGTTGTAGTCTTCAGTCAGAGATAGGAAGGTGTTCTCTGGGTTGTCCCTGTAGTTTCATTTTTTTATTTGCATCAACCTGTTTCAACCTTCAGCCTTCCAGAATCACCGGCGAGATTAACGAAGGCTAGTATTTTATTTCAGTAATAAGTGTTTTCCCCCTAGCTTCTACAGATCTTCGCCAAAATCGAGGGCCACCTCATTCTCCGTGTCTGAACTTTACAAATTGGTTTCTCCAATTCGTACGCATATATCATAACCTCCGATTCTTCACAAGCTCGTTTAGTATTTGCTGTATTTGCTTGTCAGACATGCCCAATTTCGTTTCACTTACAGACCCGGGCAACAGTCACAGCCTCGGAGCACCACCAATTACAGCGTCTAGACAGTTTTAGCGGAGTTCGCAGAACTGGAGAACAGATTGTGCTCTCTTCGCAGCGGCTGGCTGCCACACTTCAGAAAGGTTGCTGCCAGGATGGACGACGATGACGGGGAACGCCTGGACACCGGTGAGTCATCTGGCCTGCTCCCTGCGGCCATCGTGCCTCAGTAGAGTCAAAGATTGAGCATCCGAGTTTCGTTGAATCAGGACCAGAGTTGAATTCTCATCATCCATCACGAGCCATGGATCCTGGGCATTGAAGAGGGTGAGGACAAGCTGACCGAACCGGACACGGAGTGCCCCCGGAATCCACCCAACCGGGCCGACGGATGGCTGGAACCGTCATAAAGCGGGCCGGTAGAGCAGCAGCAGCAGCAGCAGGCAGGCAGCTCTCTACCAGCTCGCTTTCATTGCCCGAAGAGCTTTCACTGTGAAGCCTCGAGGTCATGATGGAAAGCGAGACGTACACGAGACGAACAAAGTGCCTCACGGCCACCACTCACTCGATCGATGGATGTGACCCCCAAACGCCAAGGCCCGACCGCCACCACACGAGCCACCCTCAGGCCCACTTCGCTTTCCCGGCCCCCCCACCCCCACAGCTTTCGGTCCCTCCTCCGGTCCGGTCAGCCCATTCGGTTGGCCTGACCCCTCCCCTCGTTATACGTTAGGCCGGCTGCGATCGCGATCGGGATGGGGACCGGGATTTGCTTCCGATATGCGACACGTGCGCATGTTGACCGGGTCCTGAGGCTCTCTGCCGCGAGTGGCTGCTTGCTGTCGAGTCTTGCGGGAGAAGATTCAGATCCACAAGTTTCGGTGGCCGGTAATATTCCTGAACCCGTCACGGCTCCGGATCGCCGGCGGGCCGGCGATCCGGCTGGCTAGCGTCGACCTGTCGCCGGTCGGCGAAACCGTTGGAGATCGGCCTCGACACGGCCAGCCTTTGTCGGAGCAGAGGAATCCGACCACGGCTGCGACGGCGACCTCGACCTCGACCGTACCGCAGCTGCCGTGCGCTGGCGTAATCAGGAGGGGGCCCGATTCCGCGATTACGTAGTACGCAGTGCCAGCAGTCGGGGAGCGCTAGCGGACGAGCTACACCGACCAAACCGCGGGAGGAGGAGTTGGTGAGTGGCCCAAAAGGCCACTGCGAGAGCTACCGAGGCACGGGAACTGGGTTACTGCGAGCGGGGGCGCGGGTGTCACATGGTGAGCCTCTTCGCCAGCTGGTCCGACCGTCGTCCAATCCATGTGCTCCATCGTCTGCCAGGCGCTGCCTTGTCCCCATCGATGAGCCCCGGTCCCTCCCTCCCTCCCTCCCGATTCCCGTCCCCTCGAAGACCGAGACGTACTCGACACAGTCGATGAGGTCAAACCGAGGGACGGGGTCGTGCCCGGCCCCCCCACCTCCCTCCCCCCCGGTCCTACGCCTCCGCGGTCGCTATCCCCGTTCCCCAGCTCATCAGCCAAATCTAGCGACTGGCTCCTGGAACGCGGGTCCGGTGACCCAGGTCAGCGAGGCGAGCGAGCTCCGCCTCGGTCGGCCCACCGTCCTACCACGTAGCAGGTCGGGGTGGGGTGGGGTGGCGAAAATATAAGGACCGAGGGCAGAGCGAGAGGGAGGGCAGGACTGCGGGGTCGGGAGAAGGAAGAAGGACGGGCCGGGACGGGAGGGGGGGATCGAGGATCTGTTGGCCGGACTCGCTCGAATTGGCGCGGGGGTGGCGCGGGGGCAGGCGTTGGGCGCGGGGAGCGCGGCTGCGAGCTGCTGGCGGGCTGTGGAGGAGGAGGACGAGCAGGAGCAGGAGCAGGAGGAGGAGGAGGAGGCGAGGCGAGGCGAGGCGAGGGGATGGGACGAGGGGAGGGGAGGCGAGGGGAGGAAGGGCGCTCGTGATTGTAACGAGTGCAGCATCCGAAGACTGCGGGTTCCGTTTTGAAGACGCGCTCCGGTGGGCGATTGGGAATGCGCGTGCGAGTGGCGATTTCGGACTATGAGACGCTGGGCTTCGGAAATGCGGTCGTCTGCGGCTCTGGCGATCGCGCGAGTGGACGAGGATTTGGCTCACCATGAGGCGCTAGATTGTCTCGGCCAGGAAGGATAATTTTGTTAGTTTTTTTGGTTTTGGAATTTCTCTCTTTGAACTCCCGTGTCCGAGGAGCTCCGTTTTCTCGATCGGCCCCCGGGCCCCAGAGCTTCTCGGCCCAGGTTCCCGAGGCGCGCGTCTCGTGAGGAATCTTCGGGCAATTTCACGTTAGAGTAGTCTTTTGGCGCTCCATCATGGCGTCGTTCGGAGGAGTGGCTGTCTCAGACCCGAAGCTCTCGGGTCATTTCACGCAAGGGCAGCTTCGAGCACTCAAAGCGCAGGTACTGCAATTCTGCGAAACTTGATGCGCTAATTGCCACTCAACCCCGTCTCTGTGTATTTTCTGCACCATCTCCAGCTGTCGCTTTCCTTTTTGTTTGGTTTGTTTTTCTCTCGGAGCGGAATGGCGCCGGAGGCTCTGATCTCAGATGATTTCTCCACGGTAGGCGTCGAAGTCGATGGACAGACGGTCGGCTCGGTGATCTGAGTGTTGGTGTTTTTTTTCCCACGTACTGCATGACATACAGCGATCAGAGCACAGTCCCTTGGCAATTGGCCCGCCCTGTTGAAATCTCAGACTTGGTGAGGTAGAGAGATGGAGATTGGCCGCAGGCGGTAGCTCCTCGCTGCAATTGCCCGTAGATATTACTGGAATCGGCGGATCTCGTCACTTGTCGAGGTTTCCACTAAAACGAAGGAACGACTCTAGATCATGAAGCGCGATTGCATTGATCGCACTATAAGGTCTCGAAAGAAGGGTCCGCCAATGTGGTGTAGTCAGCTGCCACACCAAATCAAGGTTGAATGTTCGTGTCTGCCCTTCTGTCAGTAGAGTCCTACCATTTGCCTCAGCAGAGATCTCTGACTACTTTACCGTTCAAGGTCATCCTTTGCTGCAAAGGTTGATCATTAGGCCGTTCCCGATTTCTTACTCAGCTACTTGTTGGAGACTTCAGTCATCCTTTCATCTTTTATCAGCTGTGATAACTTGCGCCACAGTTCATCTTCAACCTTTCTCCCGCAAATCTTCACACTAGTGGCAATCGATTTTGAAGTACTGTAACTCGAATTGCCAACCTCAATGTTTCCGTGGCTACAAATCGAACTTTTGACTTCGATGTTTTGTTTTCCAAAATCCAGTTTTTGTCACATTATTTTTGATTCCTAGAAATGCAAGACCCACATCAGATCTGGCAAGTTTTATTCGGATCTTAACAACATGTCCAGAAATTGTTGTCTTGGACCAGTTTGTGGATTAGAATGCAGAAGACACAAGGCCATTGACTCTATTGACGTTCGCAGCCTCTCAGTTGTGGAAATTGTATCGAACCCGGACGCGTCAGGCGGTTCTCTGAGTCATACAGATAACCTCATAGTGGGATTATTTTGACGGCGCTGGATCTTTCCTGCAGCCATGTTCTTCGAGGGCAACCAAGTGGCTGGGTCCGCAGGAGATCACTTAGTCAGTTTTTTCACCAAGAAAACTCATTTAGTTGGTATTTTCGGCGAAATCAAAAATCAAAGATGAGTTGGCCCATGTCAGAGAAGAAACGTAATATCCTCCCCCTTACAATCAGGAATGAACTGAAACATCAGCTCAGTAACACTGAAACAAGCATATAAATGAAAGACACGTCGGGGAATTTTGAAGAAGAAGACTTCGAAAGAAACTACAGAAGTAACTCAGATGATTGTAAGAAGGAAATCAGAAAAGCTCTCTACTTAAATTGGATACTATGCCTGGTATTGCCCTGTGGCCTGTTCGACAACATTCAAAACAGCAGCCTTGCTGGAAATAGAAGTTTGAGCAGGTTGCGTTGATTTTGGGCAGGCAGTAAGGCCGAGACATAATACTGTTTGCTTAGGGATAGTTCACATTATCTGCTTAGTGAACTTTGGTGGGCTGGGATGCTAATTTTCTACTGTTGGGGTTGATATACTACCTTGCTGAGGAGTGAGAGAATCTGCTTTGCACCTAGGAGGGGGTATCTCAAGCAATATGTCTAATTGGAGGAACTGTGACCGCGGGCCTAAAAATTTGTAAAATTGTACTGGGGTCTCAGTTGGTCCCATGTCGAAACTTTCGAATTAGCTCTGGTTTATCGACATGGAATTTTTTGGTCTAATTGTAGTAAGAACAAGGGTGTTCTGGTTGAAGACGCCTTGTCAGCTCTTGATGGGGCTGTCGAAGATTGGATGAAGGTCTGGACACCTAATAACCATTGAGCGTTTCGAAGTGAGCGTGATCTTCAAGCTTGTTTAGTTTTAACTGTGCACCAATTTCGATGACATTGTCGAGAGATTGACATCTTGTCTCCGAAATAAACCTAACTTTCAAATTCGTGTGTTGTTGCTATGGAACAGTTTGATGCTTGGAATGTAGGTAAATCAGGCGTCATCACAGCAGCTGAACTGGAAGCAGGAATGGAGAACCTGAATTTAGCAAAGCCACTGACAACAGCAGAAGTAGCGAAGTTGGTGGAGGAACACGACGTGGACCACAAAGGAGGACTGGAGTTCGAATCCTTTTTGCGGGTTAGTAGTTGGTGGATTTAGTACATTGAGCACAACAAATAGACGATCGACCTAAGTTGATTGGAGAAATCAGTCTTCAGCTAAGCGAGCATTTAAATATAATGGAAGTGGTTTCCCTCGTTGATTGGACATTGAGAACTGGTCTCCTCTTCGAAGCAATGCTTTAATAGCACTTTCTTTCGATCCAAGACATGTAGGGGAACGTGTCTTGGATTGATTCGCAAGAGAATAGTTTCTTCACATGCCATTTTACTTTTCTCTTCCTCAACTTTCATTGCGCTGTCTGAGGATGTGGGTTATTTGTCGATGACAGTGTCCATTCTTACTGTCTATTTCAGGTCCAGTTGGAGCTACAGAAAAATGGTCGAAGTCCTGCGGTTAGCCCACAGAAGTCCGCATTTTTAACAACTGCTCAATTTGCGAATGTGCATCACATCAGTGCTTCTGAAAAGAGAGCCTACGTTGATCACATTAACACCTACTTGGATAATGATCCTGCTATGGTGAAGTACCTACCAATTGACCCTACAACGGATGACCTGTTCAATATTGCAAAAGATGGCGTCCTTCTATGGTACGCAGTTGAACTTAGTGGCTTGTATAGTGTGTAAAGCGCATCGCATTCTCCTATTTTATCTCATCTGTCGTTGTTATGTAAAGAACGAGTGATGCAAGCCAACAGGCATGATCCTTAGGAATGGGCTGCACAATGCACACCTCTTCTTTAGGGATTTCTTTTAATTCAAAGGGAATTGAATTGACAACGTGGAATTGCCCTAAACACTTCTCTTTGGATGAAGGATGCATGGTGTATGATTTGCTAGGAAGGTTTATGTAAACGTCTGTACTTAGAAGTTCGTACAGTTTTTGAGATATAAATTCTTTGTTTCTTACAGTAAATTGATCAACTTGGCCGTAACGGGGACCATTGACGAGAGGGCAATGAACATCAAGGACAAACTAAACCCTTGGGAAAGGAATGAAAATCATACACTATGTCTGAATTCCGCTAAAGCAATTGGGTGCTCAGTCGTCAATATTGGTACACAGGACCTGGTTGAGGGTAGGGTAAGTTGTTCTCAGTCCCTTGGACCACTCCACCTTTTCACATGTGGTTGTAGTAGTGCATTGAGTGTCGCATAGTAGCATGTCATAGTAGTAGCATCGTTTACGTGTCTGACTTTATAAGCAGTATGTTCCGATGGTCAAGCGAGGCCTCAAAGTAGAGGCCATTATTATTTTGCTTGGACAATGCCGCAAACCCGAAGTTAGATGTCCAGACACCTAAATTTTTCCTGAATCTGATGCTTTAGGGAGCTCCGGCGGTTCTTCCGGTTGCAGGTTGTGCAGTATATGAGGATCATTTTCTTACCAAGAGCCAAGATAATTTTTGAAAACTCACTTGTGCCTTTTAGTGAGGCAGACGTTATTCATTTATATTCCTGTTTTGCTCTTGCAGCCGCATCTTGTGCTGGGGCTTATTACTCAAATCGTCAAGGTACAGGATATTTTTCTTTATCGAATACTCTATGTATGTATGGAAGTCATTTTGATCACATTCTTTCTACATAGACTGCATGAAAACGTATTGCGTCTGACTGATCTTATCCAAAAATGTCTCGGCATCTTGGAAAAACAGGTCCAACTTTTGGCGGATATTAATTTGAAGAAAACCCCTGAACTAGCTGAGTTGCTCGACGACATGGAGGTCCTCTATTCCTACCATTTCAATCTTTATTTCTCTTCACACATTTGTATCTTGTTCTCATTCCATTTGATTCTCTGTCAACAAGAAATGCCTGTTGGTTGACCACAGTGAATCAGAAGTGTACAGTGGAATCTTACATCCTCACCAGTATATAAAGAGTTGGATTGTGAACATCATAGTTGTAATCGTTGAGAATTTGATGAACGGTATGGTCATTGCACATGAGGTTGTAGCTGGTCTTCTTTATGTGAGCAAGTTTGTTTTGATTTAAGTGGAGGGGTTTTTTTTCCGGTTGACCTCTGTAAACATATCCTCGTGTTTTCTGAGATGAAATGTTGGTGGAAGATACTTGAATGACTTGACGTTAAGGCACACAACTCGAGATAAACGATTTGACCATCTTAATCCAGGAATTTGAGGAGCTCCTCAGACTCCCAGCCGAGAAGCTGTTACTACGATGGATGAACTATCACTTGAAAAAGGCTGGCTACACGAAAGTGGTCTCTAACTACTCTTCCGATGTGAAGGTACTTCTACAGTCGCAACATTCCTGTATGTTCCGTATAAAGTTGTGAGGGGTTGAAAAATCCGTACCGTTCGTCTCTAACCATTGGAAAGGCATTTATACGTACTTATAACACGGCATACAATCTATCAGCAGCAAGTGCGTCTAGATCTAAGCAATTCTCTTGGTCTTGTTTATTTTTTATCCTGCAGAGTAGATGGTTCAGATTTTAGTCTTTGATTTTAAAGTACGAGTAACATTTTTCTGTTCTGGTCATCTAAAGTGTCTTTGATCTAAACCCAACATTCGTGAGTGGTACAGGATGGCACAGCGTATGCAATGCTTCTCCACAAGCTGGCTCCTGAGAGCTGTACCTTGGAACCCTTAAGCATTTCTGATCCTCTCGAGAGGGCCCAGGCCGTCCTAGCCCAGGCCTCACGTATTGGTTCTAGCAAGTATCTATCTGCGAAGGATATTGTTGATGGCTCACCTAATTTGAATCTTGCGTTCGTAGCTCATCTTTTCCGGATCAGGTTGGATTCCCAATTTGAATATTCTTGATTTCATATTCTTGATACTTGTTCTTGCAAGTTCTGTCATGCGCTTCATTTTATCCTATATATGCAGTTCATTAAACGTCGTCCATCGAAGTAAATACATTTATAAACTACGGAGCGTGTACATTGTCGAATATGAATCCAGTCTTAGAACTTGTTACAGCCTGACGTTTTACGACTCTAATTCTCAAATATTCACATTTCTCTTTTGCAGAAGTGGATTGTCCACAGACAGCAGCAAGTTTACTTTTGCCGAACTCATAGAATCTGATGATGAGCAAGATTCACGAGAGGAAAGAGCTTTCCGAATGTGGATCAATAGTTTGGGTATTGAGTACGTGAGCTCCTTGTTTGAAGATGTTCGAGATGGGTATGGCCCTCATTCCCTGATTCCTCCAAATCCAACTCTGTCAATAGTGCTACTGTCAGAACTACATGTCTACAAAAGTAGGGCACTGAATGCAAGAATGAAGAGCCATCAGGAAAAGTGGCAGATGCCTGTCATGCTGAAAAGACTATTTCTTTGATACATGAATGCTGAAGCTGAAAAACGGGGGAGAGAACTGCGCAAAAGATGTTATCAAGCTCTGACGATCTGCTCCTGTTGGGTCTGCAGGTGGGTACTTCTTGAGGTTCTAGACAAAGTGTCTCCTGGATCTGTTAACTGGAAAGGAGCCACTAAACCGCCTATCAAAATGCCCTTTAAAAAGGTGGAAAATTGCAATCAAGCTATTTCGATCGGCAAGTCATTAAAGTTCTCACTCGTCAACGTATCTGGCAAGGATCTAGTCGAAGGCAATAAGAAACTAACGCTCGGTACAAACTTTTTCCTGATCATTTCGTTTTCTGTGATTTGTGCTGCTAATTTTGTGTTTGCCTCATTTGGGTGCAACAATTTTTACAATACTTTTCTGTTGTGAATGGAAGAGACTTGATACTCGAACACGTCAGACTGTTAGTCCTCATCGATGATTGTTAAGAAACACGACTTGATATTCCGATCCGTTGTAATTACTGTGTATACTCGGAACAGCATTCCTGTGGCAGCTTATGCGATATCATATGTTTTACCTGCTAAAGAACCTCAGACTGAAGGGCAAAGAGGTATCAGAGGCCGATATCGTGCAATGGGCCAACCTTAAGGTCAGGAACGTTGGAAAGACATCAAAGATGGAAAGTTTCAAGGTGAGGACCGCGTACTGCGTCTTTTGAGTACATCATAATTCCTGTTTGGTTTGTTATAGACGTTGAAAATGTCTCTGAAGACTCCAATTTGAGATGAGTGTCCCAATTATGGTGTTAAGATCAGTTTTAGAGATCTGCTAAGTTTCCAACTATCCTGATCGAGCATGAAATTGGCTTTATCATCGTTCCGTGGTCAATCTGATGGCATTGAGTGTGGGTACTCCAGTCGGGGGGCTTGGTGAGATCGATTGTGTACTCTGCGCGAAGACTGGAAGTTGTGTTTGCTAACTTAGTGGATGTGGATATCTTCCAGGATAAGAGTTTGGCATCAGGAGTTTTCTTCCTCGATCTGTTGGGGGCAGTGGAGCCCAGAGTGGTTAATTGGAACATTGTGACATCTGGTTTGACTGGTAAGTGTGTTTGATTTAAACATAGCAGGGTGTCGTGGCTTTTATTCTTGAGATTCAAAGACAATTTTATGTCGACATAATCTTCTTCTCTCTCGTGCAACGACCTGTCATAAATGTCGATCTTCTCTTTACCAGGGCATTATGTTCGAAGTGCCGTAGCCTCTCGTCCTTCGAAGGAGCTGAGAAAGCTAATGCCACTTGGGTGTTTTGTGCAGAGGAGGATAGGAAGAAAAATGCAATGTACATTATCAGTGTTGCTCGGAAGATTGGATGCTCCATATTTTTACTATGGGATGACCTTGTGGAGGTACTGTGTCGTATTCTTTTCAAAAAAGTACTTATCGTCATTCCACTGAGTTCATGTTTTAGATGCAGAGAGAGGGTCAATCACGGTGCTTGTCCTTGTTAGTTCTTTAGTCCCTGAGAATCTGTGGCTTCTAATTCGGTGATCAAATCATTGTAACAGGTGCGACCTAAAATGATTCTGACTCTAGCTGCCAGCATCATGCTCTGGAGTTTATCGAGTAAGGCCAAAGTTGCAGATGCTTCCGCATCACCGGAGAAATCCCCATCCGTTAAATCAGAATCTGCTCCATCATCACCCCCCACAGCTCCAGCATCACCGCCACCAGGGGAAGATGTATTACCACCTCTGGATACTCCATCATCCCCTCCTTTGGATCCTCCGTCATCTCCACCTGTGGATGAACCATCATCACCGCCTTCGGCTCCACCGCCTGAAATCGCCGAGAATGGTCATGATACTCCAAGCTAGTCCGTGGGTTTGTGTGGAGCTGGTAGTTTAGTCAAATTTATGAGTCGTTAGTTCTCTGAAATGATTAAGAAAAGTAGGTTGATTCTTTCTGGCATTGCTAATAGAGCACCGTATTTTTTAAAGCCCTTCGAGTCTTTTAACCTCTTCGGTATGGCTTGTTTGAGCTTTGTGTATAGTAGTAAATTACACCTTCCTATAGTGGCTCAAGTTTCTTTTTCCATACGAGTCGATATAGCTGGTGGCTTGTTCACATCACACACCACCTTGTGCTCTAATAATCAGGCACAGTTTTTCAGGGCAACAGTTGGTATGACTTTGCTAGTCGCTGTTTGGCCCACTTGTCAACTCACTACTGTGAGATAGGGAACTATTATTGCTCATAGTCCGTCTAGGAACTCATCAATGCAACTTGTACGAGTTGCCTTTGCCAGGTTGGTTTGCGCAAACCATTGGTGCCTTGTTATAAGTAAAAGCTCATGGTATATTTTGTCCCCCTGTTTCCCGAGATCCTCTTTGCACTCAAATCTCTGAGAAGAGAAGGGCAATGGGATGGAAAAGAAAAAACCCTGCGAAATCCGGTGCCTGCCGGATACTTATTTTGCGTGTTTATTCTCTCGACTGGAGCACCTAAATCACCGAGCCGACCATCATCAATCGTTGCCTGATGTGCATATACATGTTGCAGATGACCCAACCGAGCTCCCAGAACTGGAAGCTTTCATATTTCCTTGGGGAATCTATCCTTATCTTGGCGATGAGCCGGACTCCACATAAGCTTGCAGGACACAACAGCCAAGAGATAAGAAAGTCGGTGTCCGTTCGTGGAGAACAAATGAAGTCCTTTGCCTGAAGCATTCTGACGGTTCGATATTGTGTCTGAAATGGACGAGCCGATTCCTGACGTCGGAATGCAAACCTTGAGTATCTCACGCACGGTAACACAAACATTTCTACCCTGCCCCGATCTAATACATTATTTGAAATTAATCGTCGTGATTCAATCGCGTGAGCAAGAACTGATCGATGAAAACTCGAGTTCAGAAAATGAGCAGATGCTTGAACTGCACCGGACGCTAGCAGCGTTCACAAGGACAAGGACAGAAGCAGCACAAGAGGAAAGGCGGAAAAGCCAAGCCCTGCATCTGTCCAGTACCTTGCCACCTTGTTATGCGAATCGCGAAGGAACAATTGCCCAATGCAGCACTCAGACGTACGTCCTATACCCTGCCCTTTGAAATGTCCACGCACCCACTCGCGTACAGCTTACGACGAAGAGTACGCTTTTGTCAGAAAGTTCTCTCACCCTTCGGTCTCCGTCAAGGATGCCAAACCATGTTCGTCCAGACAAAAGTTCTTCGGGCATCTGCACCGATTCTCGTCAGATGATGTAATTCGTTGCTACATTCTGGTCTTCTCTGTCAGGCTCGTTTCCAGTCCGACCGAGAGCTGCCAGGGCCAGCTTATACACTACCGTCGTCAGATCGTTTTTGAGATCCAACATTTTCGAGTTAGTCTTGGGGTCTTCTCATGGGAACTTCATGGCTTTGAGAAGATGCTCCAATGAGCTGGGGCGATCGACAAATTCACTTCGCTGGGCTTGCTGCTTGGCTTTCTATACACATCCATGTTCTGCGAATCTACGTAAATTCTATTTACAGAGAAAACGTCGAAATGTAAAGTGGTGCGCACCGTGCGAAGCACGCAGTGCAAGAGAAGGGAGATGCTCAGAATCCCAATTCATGTCCTTCGTCAACATGTTAAATAGTGAAGTAGACGACGGGTCTCAGGATCAATGCCCATTTGCAAGTACGTAATCTGCCTCCCCGGACCTCGGTACCATGTTTGTTAGTAGAGTGACATTTCGTAGGAGCTGCAAACGAGAGAAGTGCTCGAACGCTCGCACGATCGGTTGTATCGGCATATGCCTGTCCTTGTGATCTCTCGGTAGACTTCTACAGAACCGGGATCTGGGGAGTCCCATGGACAGGCTGCACTGATGCTCACAACCACAAAGAGTATACACCAGTCCCTCAGAACAAACCATGGCAAGTCCAACACTGCTCCCTGAAGGAGATGATTTGAGATGGAATGGTTTTTGTATTTTGTTGAGTTGCAAGCACATTACAAAGCCGTATCTGACGACACGGCCATTTTGTTGTTGGAACAGCAGTCCATGCATTGGGGTTTGAACAAGGATTCGGATCCCACTAGTTACGCGGATTTTTTAGAATGCTTCTGCATGAAGTTACTGTTCCCATGGCCAGCGAAAAGCTCCCGCTGGTTCTAGGACTTGGGCCCCATCGTCCTCAACTGTCTCTGTAGCAGAACCATTCTCTGCCTCTGCGGATGCAGACTGTGGCTCCTCACTTCTTGCAGCCTCTGCAGGTTCTTTCGTAGGGCTTTTGGGAGGTGAAGGTGTCCGTGGTGGCTTCATACCCGGATACCTGGGACCAGCGACAGCAACAACATTAGTAACAACTTTAATACACTTTGAGCTTCCAGCGGTAAACAAGGAACCAATGCAGCTGAAGTTTTCTAGCAGATACCTCATTACCTAATGGTTGGTTAGGTTGCATTCACAACACGATAAGAAAGAATCGCATTCATGAATGACCAACTACTGGACTTGTGGTGCTTAGAACTTACATGGTGTATGGGGAGAGGGGTCTCGACTTTTGAGGCAGTTCAGGTATCGATGCGCTTTCTGCGGACTCGGTTGCAGCTGATCCTGCCACTTCTATAACTGTTTCTGCTGCCGGTTCGACTACAGAGTCAACTGATGGCACATCATTCTCTTGAGAGGCTTCTTCTGGTTGACCCCAAGGCCAACGGAAACTGGCAGCCGCCTTGGCCCTTTCTACAGCAAGTCGTTCTCTTTCGGCCACAGCCTCCGCTTCCTGTGCTGCGAGAGCTTTCAATCGTTCTTCTTCCTCTGCACGTGCATTAAGCTCATCCTGGGTCAGTTCCTGTGCTTCAATCACAGGAACTGATGGCTCCGGAGTCACCTGGGAAGCTTCCAGTTTAGCTTCTGATTCACCTTCTCCAGGCTTGATCGTCTTGGGTGGAGTTGGGGGTGTTGGAGGTTTCAAAGCTGGATATCTGCAACATGTGAAGCTCCAGTTCAGCTTCTTCAATTGAGCAGGACCAAATTTCGCAATCTGAAAACTTCTCTTTACTAAGGACAGTCAAATGATTACACCACCATGATGGAGATGATAGCTTACGCAGTGTAAGGCGAGAGTGGCCTTGAAGGACGTGTTAATTCTTCCGTTGTTTCTGGGACGGCCACTTCCTGTTTTGTCGTCTGATTGATGGTAGGGGCGAGATCGGGGTCGTCTCCCGCAGTAGTCTCTTCTGTCAAAGGCTCTGCAGCGACTTCTTCCTCCGTTGGTTCCCCTTCAGAGTCTTGCTTCTCCCAGGGCCAACGGAAAGCCCCAGACCTTTTGGCTTGTGTTTCTAGAGAAGATTCAGCCACTACTGCCGGCGTAACTTCTTCCTCCTCTTTAGTGACCGGTTCTTCAACAGTCTCCTTAGCTGCTCCTTCAGTAACAAGATCCTGCACCTGGGGGCCGGGAGGCGGAGTTGGAGGACCAGGGGGCTTTAAAGTGGGAAACCTTCACAGTCGAAAGCAGAGATCAGAACCATGACCATTCAGGTCACGGAATAAGAACAGCCAATGTCAGATCGAGATTAACACATTGAACACTAGAAGTAGTCTGAACATATGTTGGTGTCACGAGTAAATGATGAAAAGAGCAATTCGTGTGGATCCAAGTGGGTCCATTGTTGATCACTTACTTCGTGTAGGGCGACAACGGCCTTGAAGGTCGTGGAAGTTCCGTTGTCTCTGCTTCTTCAGTAGCTGCTGTGTCCTGTCCTAATTCTGACGTGGTTGGTGCACCTCCTTCTGGTTCGTCTTTCTGCCACGGCCAGCGGAAACCTTTGGGTTTAGCTTCGGATTCTGCCTCTCCTCTGACATCGGCTTGCCCTTTCTCTTCTTCCTCTTCTTTGGCCTTTCTTTCGGCTTCTATCCGTAACTTTTCTTCTTCCTCTTCTTTGGCCTTCTTCTCGGCTTCGACCCGTAACTTTTCTTCTTCCTCTTCTTTGGCCTTCTTCTCGGCTTCTATCCGTAACTTCTCTTCTTCCTCTTCTTTGGCCTTCTTCTCGGCTTCGACCCGTAACTTTTCTTCTTCCTCTTCTTTGGCCTTCTTCTCGGCTTCGATCCGTAACTTTTCTTCCTCCTCTTCTTTGGCCTTCTTCTCGGCTTCGTTCCGTAACTTTTCTTCCTCCTCTTCTTTGGCCTTCTTCTCGGCTTCGATCCGTATCTTCTCCTCTTCCTCTTCTTTGGCTTTTCGTTCAGCCTCGATCTTCATCTTCTTCTCTTCCTCTTTCTTGGCTTTTGCTTCAGACTCGATGCGCTTCTTTTCAGCTACTTCAGCATCGGCTTTTGCCTTTGCTTCCGCCTTCAACTTGGCTGCAAGTTTAGTTGCTTTTGCCTCTGCTTCTTGTCTCGCTTTCTTTTCTGCATCTTGCTTTGCTTTCACTTTTGCCTCTGCTTCTTGTCTCGCTTTCTTTTCTGCATCTTGCTTTGCTTTCTCTTTTGCTATGACCGCCTTTTCCTCCGCTTCTATCTCGGCTCTGACAGATGAGATAATGTCCTTCCTTTCCCGGTCTGATAACCTACAGTATAAATATTGTGCCTCAGGTCTGTAGCTCTGAAAGCAAACGACTCTCTCAACAGACTTGCCAATGACTACATTGTTAGCGTTTTCAAAGACTTCTGAATTTAGATAATATGTTTGAGAATTTCGCGAAGTCACCAAAAGAAAAGGCTACCGAAAGCAGAATCGACTGATCTCTGAGCCGTCATTTCGTAATCTGTTCTCTTCTGTCGTTCTTTGTCCAGGCTTGTTTTGTATACTATACTCACTGTTTTCCTTGACGGGCAGCTGCTAGAACAGCAGTTTCGAGAGCCTTAGCTTCTCGAACAGCTTGAGCAGCTGCTTTGAGCTTCGAACGCAGCTCGGCAGCCTTCCTCTCTACCTCCTGCTTTTGAGCTCGTGCAGCTTCGGCCTCCTGTCTTGCTTCTTCTTCCTTAAGCCTCGCGGACTCATATTCGTTCTGGAGTTTCTGGCGGACAGCTTCTGTTTTCTGCTGATGAGCAAACTGATGATTCAGAGCAGTATTCTGGCAATTCAAGACTTTCTTCATTCAACTTGCAATACTGCTTACCTACATCTCAAGGCTTGTGGCCACTGGAAGAGTCTCCAGGAAACCCAGAGAAAGTCATTCTCAAAGTACCATAATGGAATGGTAGGGGTCTGTAGTATGAACCCAAGTTCATGAAGTTAGGTCAACTATCTCGGGAGAGTGATGACCTTCTGAGCGGCGTCTGTTGCAGCTTGTGCTCCTTGTGATTGCTTCTCCTGCGATGAAGACCGAACAATCACTACCGTCAACACCAAGGTAACTACTGAAAATAAGGAATCCAAAACTTCAGCATATGTGATAGTGTCTTCCTTTGAGTTGCTTCCGTACTAAATGAAGCGGAGAGATTAAAATTAGAGAAAAAAATAGAAGAATATTAACATAGAACAAAAACTTCACCTCTTGTAGCCGCTGCTTTGGTGCCTGCTTGGTTTCCCTTGTTTCGTCTGACCGCTTCGCTGGCTTGACTGCCCCGAATGTTGAAATATCAGCCAGAAGGTCCTCAGTTGGACGCAGAGGTGCTGTGGTTTCAGCTACAGCTTCCAGCACCTTGTTGCGTGCAAGGTTCAAGTTGCCTACTATTGAGGCCATGAGTTCGGCAACCTGTAACTCGGAGTCAGTACTTGCCCGTTAACATGGATTAGTTCACAGATGTTATGGTAGCACATGAGTTAAAGGATCTGCTACAAGTAACGGAAGATTTCCCCGGTACAGATGGCATTGTACACAGCAATGAATCTAAGACTCCACGAGTACCTGGAGGTTGGAAACTTGCCCACCAAACATACTATCGGCCTCGAAAAGACGAAGGTTGTGGGTCTCCTTGTAAGCATCTGTTGGCTTCTCCATACCTCCTGGCCTTACGATCTGGAAAGATGACAGGCAGCACAGGAAAGAACAAAAGGCGAGTAGTGAGGATCTGCTCATCGAACATACCATCTCCTAAGCTACGCGCTGTGAAGAGCAACGAGCCTCAAGGACAGCAATTCCAAAAGTCGTTAGCCATTGTGGAAAAAACTGAGGTGATAGTTACAGCCTATGAAGCCACAGGTGAAGGAAGCGTACGGTGAAAGGGATGCCACTCTCGATCAAGGCCTTCTCAGCTTTCGCTTTCCAGTACAAGACACCCCAAAATAGGCTGCACAGATGGATCATTATTTATACATAAATAGCTGACAGAGGTTCATGGTACGTTGAATACTCCAAAGATCTATTGCTGGAGCGAAGGTGGCACATTCTTGTTGAAAATAAGAATCTCAAACAAGAAATCTCTTCCACTCTTGCCATCCACATAATTGACTCATCATTCACTTACTTCAGAACTGATGCCGGCCATCCAAACTTCTGTGTGCCCAGAGATGTCACCAATATAAAGTGGTTGACTTTAGCACTGCTTGCTGCATAACAGAGACGTGTGAGTACTTGACGATGTATGATTGCAGGGGATAACAGCTTGAAGCAGATCAGAAATGACGAGATCCAACAAAAATTGCAACGTATTGGTTCTCCGAACATGGGGGAATGAGCTAAGACTGGTAGAAAGCCTCGTGAAGCATGCTGTTACAATTGGCAGAAAGTTTAAGCTTCGGATAATACCTGCATCGATGAGGTTCTTTGTTGCCTTGAAGTCAATGCGATAAGGTCCAGTGACGTCCAAAACCTCTTTCTCACTAGCTCCGATGGTGCATATCACGACCCCTGCGTTTCCCAACGCTTCTTCAATGTCGTCCTCTTTCTCCAAATCACACTGGACAAGCTCCACTAGCTGTGCTGCTTGTTTTGCCTTTGGACCGAGAAAGCCAAACAGCTTCTCGGGCTGCATACGAAGTACGTCGCAGCACGTCAAAGATCCTCCGACATCGAAAGGATAGAGTCTTGACATGCCTAAGCAACAAACGAAAGAGAAGACTGCGACAATTTCGGCTTACAGAAAAGTTCGCCCACACGCCCTTCTTAGTTGGCTCTTCCACTTCTTCATCCTTTGATTCTCCTTTCGTTTCTTCTTCCTGCAAGGTCCGAAGAATTACGAATCGGCCCGTTGGATGTCAATCTGTAATCACCTTCCGAAGCAGGCGATAGGCTCACTTTTGTCACATGCCTTCAATTTGGAGAAATTCCGAAACATTGAGAAGTGTTTAGATGCGACAGAAACGCACTATAATGTATCCAATCCAGCTTCAGAACCTGCCGGGACATCAATTTTCTGTAGCAAGCAAGCGACGTGCACACTTTACCTCAAGCAGAAACTGAGCGGTGTCAACATTTCGAACGCCGGCCCGAACTTTGTACCCCAGCTTCACCAGCTCCCTGTCCAAACACGTAGTGGAACTGACGTCAGAAATTTCTTCACTCACTCAACTTCATTTAAGTTTCAATGGAATTGAAAGTGCCAATTGTGTGCCGATTATGAATTGACGATTTCATTCCAGAAGGAAGTTGAGGATGGACCTGACAGTCCGCCTGCCCACGTTTCCTGTCGCTCCAGCAACGAAGACAGTTCTGTTATCCTTCGGTCGACTTCCTCCTTTGGATGGCACTTTCACAGTTCCCGGTAATTTTATTTGCTTCTTCGTTCGCTGGACTGGTTGCTCATCCTCTTCCTCAGCTGGGGGTTCCTTGCTCTTCAATTTGGTTGAACCTGATTGCAAGTTTCGTGCACTTCTCATCAGCTCTCTTGCCTCCAAAAACGATTCTCACGGAACTCACGACATGGAAACACTAATGCAGTCCTTTATCGGCGGGTTAAAAGTTTTAAATTTGTGCACCGAGCTTCTGGGCCACAAAGCATCAAGTATCCCAACAATTGGTCAGGGAAATATTGAGGAATACATGCATCTCGAAGACCAACAGTCTGATACAAGCTTCCTTCCACGTTCTTCACGAAGTATACACCAAAAAGCCCATCCTTTCAGAGGGTGATCTCACACGCCTGCATTCGGTCCGGCTCCGATCAGCTACGGCTCAGCTATAGCACCTTTTGCGTTTAAAGATTTTCGAACAAACCACCTTTCCTAAGGACACCGAAATTAGACCACTGTAGCGGTGATAATTACGAATTTTGGAATATGCCAATTCCTTATCGCTTCAGAAGTGCCTGTCAACGAGGGAGAAATGTGTCACATTTCTCTCAGACTATCCACCATCGCAGCTCCGACCATCTGTACATGACGCGTGTACCTGATCGGTCTAGCAACTTGGTTGGGCTATGATATGACCATTGCTCCGTGTGTGTTCGACAAGTTCCAACTGGAATAGTAAAATCTGACAGATCATTGTTGACAGCTTACGAAATTACCTGGACCAGACTTCTTGGCTCGGACGTCGATCGAGTATCGTCTCCGGCTCGACAGCAGAGTCAGCCTCCTCCTCTCCACTCGGAAGCTCCACTGCTTTCCGAGTGACGAAGGGATGGACACGGACCTCCCATCATGGACACGGCACTGCACGAGAGATCGAGGCAGCAGGTCACAGCTTCGAGTCGACGCCAAGGCATGAGTGTCCATGGTCGGTCTGACAACAATAACTCACAGCGAAGATTCTCAGAGGCTCTTAACTGCTGCCCACGCTCAGCTCACTGGCATCGCATGTGAGCGACTCAGTGGACTCACTATCTCGCAACAACGTTCCAAAAAGCCGGGACCGAGTGCACACTATATGACGAGTATTTGGTGCACTTTGCTGCTGCAGCTGCTGTGATTCGGCTCCAGTATTTCCGATGCTGCTACTCTACGCCAGAGAAGCTGGCCAGAAAGTCGGAGAACGAGCGTTAGCGAGGGACAGGGAGAGTATAAGCTTTCGCAAAAACACCAATTGCAAGTCAGATTGGATTCATACGTGGTCGAGGCCGATTGCTTGGCTGCTTCTGGGACCACCACCTGGATGGGATGGGGCTCGGATAGTGGACTCAGGACCACGCAATTCCTCGCTCTCTCCTGCCTCCGACCTCCAAGCCTCATGCTATTCGCTTCTTTCTGCTTGATACGCCACATCGTACTACGACCGCTGACCGTCTGTCACGTGCCGTACCCGGCGCCAGTACGCCGCCCTTGTGTTCTGCTGAGACCTTGAAGCCGACAAGGCCGAGTGAGAATCGCAAGAAACCCCGGGCGAATTCGAAATTGGCTTGCTTCAGAATCGTGCGGAGCATTCGTTTCTGTGCTTGGTGGTCCTGGCTGTCTGTCTGTCTGTGGAAGCAAGGTCTTCTCTCAAGCTTTGGGCTAATTTGGCATCAGCTCCTTGGCTTGGTCAATTTAGGCAGTTCAATTCCCCTTCTTCATCCAATCTGCCGTTAGCAGCCATGGCCAGTTTAGCGTTCCGTCTGTATATGCAAAGCCAATCCGCACCTGACGTTCATTCCTTGTTCCAGTTACACTCAAGAGCCTTGTCTTTCATATTGTTGTTCTGTGAGGTGTATCGGTTGTAGTCCGAGAGGCCCGCACATGCCAAATGTTCATACTCCGCTTTATGCGCTAAAAGCTTCGCCCGTGATGGGTAGCAAGATTGTGCTCGCACTTTTTTTTTAATTCTCCTCGTCCTTTTAGGATAGCGAACCCCTCTTGGACTCATCCACATCGTTAACGCGATGAAAGAAGTACACAAAACAGCAACCGATTGGCTTACAAATATTACGTTCAACCCGGAGTTTGAAATTCTTGCATAAGAATTCCTGCTTACAAGGAAGGCATGCCTATCTTCATGTCACATGACATGGGCTCTCCGCGGCTCAAATGAATGTCCTACTTACAAATCTCAAGAGACTTCCTACGACTACAGTGTGAATAAATACACACTTCCCCATGTAATTCCTACTTTACCGGCCAGTAAAAACAAGTCTACATTTTTTTGTCCTTGTTTCCAAAAGTCCATGTCATCTGTGTCAAACAGGACACTGAGGTCCTTATTTGGTGGCTTGGGCAATCATGTTGCTGAGGGATCCAGCCTGTTCTTTCGCATTCTCGATAAGAGTATCCTGCAAAGCAATAGCATCAGCGTTTTGTTAATACAGGAGCTCTCAAGTGGGCATGCTTCCACAGCGGACCGCAAGAGCTGCTGCAAATGACAGGCTTCTAAGCCAGTGCAGTTTGTGGACAAGGGCTCACAGCCTGTCCTCAGCAGCTTGCAGAGTGAAGATAATTAAACAGCAAACAAGACTTAACTAGATCGATGCATTACAGCTTTAATACATATCAAGCTTCTACCTTCTGATACAAGCTTCGATGTCTTCACGAATGACGAACTTTGCAAAACCTAAGGATGAGGATCCATATATACCTGAGCCGCAATCACTCGCGCTACAGACTTTTTGCTCGATTCTTGCAATTCTCCAGCAATGAGTACTTCGTCGAGTATATAGTAGGCCTACAAGTATCCATTGAAGTTATGAAACGCTGATCATTACTGATAGTTACTGGAATAAATCCTCAAAAACGTGGAAGAATCCTAAGATCAATATATGAAGGGCGTTCCAGCCTACCAAGCTTGACATTCAACTCAAAGTACCTCAGCCAATTGCCAGACTTCAAAAGTTTCATGATAGAGTCGATATTGAGACCCGTGCACAGAAAGGACTTGAACACTGACCTTGTGAAAGTTGAAAATCAGATCCAGCTCACAAACCTGCCAGCCAAAGAGTTTGATGAGAAGACTATTCCTTATAGAAGACTGCACAGACTTCAGTTCCGGTTAGCCGACAGAAGAAAGGAAGAGAATAATTTATGTCTTACATTGCCGAAGTATCGATCGAGGATCTCCACAAAATGGTGAATGATTTCGAGTGTTTCAAGTTCATTATCATCCGCGTCTATGCACATGCAAAAGTACAGACTTGCATATCTGTACACATAAAGTAAGACATAAAGTAAGACATCCCCCAAAGACAACCTTCCGTTGAAGTCATCTGAGGAGAGGTTTCTTGCACTTGCATCAGTAATGAAAGAGGTTGTCATAAATTCTGTCAGTGCACCACATGTCTAGAATTCTAAATTGAAGTGGATACCTTCACCGAATAGCATCTCTCTATTAAGCACTACCTTAATTGTGAAGGATGCGACTACGAGTGGCCTGTGCCTGCAGTTGCATAACGTGGACAATGGGCTTGAATTACTAGATCATAATTCCAGGCTCCTCGCTTGTATTGCTTCTTTTTATAGTGCCATCGAACCCTACCTTTTATAGATAACTTTAAGACCCCGCCACTCGACGAAGTTACAAAGCTTTGGTCCTCTAGACAAAATCACTCCGCTGAGCTCACGAATAACCTACAAAGCATGTACGTTCACGAACATAAATAAAGATATGCAAAACACCCCAAAGGCAGAGATGATATCTCGAATATTAACAATACAATCGACTTTCAACATGCTGAGCCAAAATATTACATGACGTGAGGTTAATGGGCAGGTCCTGACCATGAAGGACCAACTGAAAAGGACAAAGATAAAACTATGGAGGGGTTCCTTAAAAAGTTAGAAGCCCGCTTCACGTGTGAAGATAAAGCATTTCGAAAAAACGGAAAGAAGATGTGTGGGCTCTCAGCTACACACAAGGACAGGTGAGTAAGCTAATTGAAAGAGGTCAAGTACATAAATCTTAGCCCGTGCTCCGACGTGTACAACGATACTTCATTGATCGACTGCACAGGAAGACTTGCGAGTCCTGCTCTCAAGTCGGCGCGGTGACTCTCAAGTATTCCTGTGAACTCGATCCGTCAAGTATCGTTGTACACGGGTGCAGGGGCTAAGATTTATGTATTTGTCTACCGGTAGCAATACTGAAAAAAACTCTCTTACAAGATACTCCTCGGGGACACGCGAGCTTAAGTCCAGACAATCAGAAATGAATCACGACAGCAAACCTTACAAGACATCAAAATCCACTCTGCTTGGAAGCAATACTACCACGACGCAGATAAAGAGTCTCGCAGGTCCAGTAGCGGGGAATTTGACATTTCTCGTGGGCCAGTTTGATAGGCTTACCTTGGTCCTCTCTTTCTGAGTGTACGGCGAGTACCACTTGGTCAGCCTGACCTTGCCCTGCCGGCTGATCAGCAATACGAAGTGAATCTGCCATCCCACCACCGTGCACGCTGAATTTGAGGAAAACTACGATCAAATACTCCATGCCCCGGATCCAATCCAAGCGATAGCTTCACGCTACTACTCATTAAGATCTACAACCTGGCGACTCGAGAATCTGATTGCTCAACAGTGCCTCGGAGAAGGTCAAATTCATTGCAGGTGAAACACAAGCGAGAGAACAGATTCAAAAACATCAATACACAGCACGGACTACAGGCCAACATGTGTACCGTCATTTCTATGAACCCTTCGTAGGGGTCATGAGCAGACAAAACCGACTCCAGGAACACGGTTCAAACTCCGATCTCAGGTGCAACCGTCCGTCAATCGAGCCGGCAATGAAAGCCCATCCAGCCCGAGCAACTACGGCTTAGGTCTCAGTCAAGCAGGAATGCAGAGAGCTACAAGGCAAACGAGCGAGCGAGCGAGCGAACAGTCGGTCATATGACAATCGGAACAATCGGAACCTCTCCCGCATCAACCCCAATCACACACAATCACGCAGACAAGAAAGAAAACACTCATCGAGCGATCAAGCGATCCGCTTACGCCATGGATCCACGAAAGCCACAGCCCTCGAAGCACGCAAGGGAGGGGCGAACGAGTTCGTGCGTACCATTGCGCAGTGGAGCCAGCCGGGAATCGACTAAAAAGGGATTCGTTCACACCGCATCGTCCTCTACTGCAGGATCGCCATCCGCCCTCGCTCTCGCTCTCGCTCTCGCTCGATCCTGGCTTCAATCCTTCGATCCTCAATCTTCGCGCGAAATCCCTCGTCGCCCTCTCTCTTAGCACGAGCAGAAGGTCGAGGTCGAGGCCTGCCAAATGTTCCGATCTGCTCTTCAGGCTTGCCTCGGCCTCGGCCTCGGCACTGCGCAGTTGACTGCAGTCGCATTCGCCCTTTCTGTCTTCTCTACGTCGTCGCCGCTGGGCATGGTTCGATCGGGTCATCTGCAATGAGATGAAACCTCGCAAAGTTTCTAACGATTCAACCCATGTGATGTTTTGGTCTAATTTGACATATGATTTTTCTCATTAATCCCAGTCTTTACGATATTATATTCATATTATTGTATTATTTAATTGATATTTAATTTTAAAAAATATCAAAGACTTCTTTAAGACATATATTAATATTATAAATAGATTCTTATATCATCCTGGTTAAAAATTACTCGTATCATTGAAGCTAAAGTGTTCATTGTTATTGTATTCATATAAATGCTATCTATAGTATATAGTAATGTTATTGATAGAGAATTGATTGATTGTACCAATCATAAACGCTTGGAAAAAATAGTATTAAACAATATTTAGATAGAAAGGTCGTATTTTTTATGAGATCTAGATCATAAATCAGAAAAGAAAACAAGTATTACATTTCTGAACAAATATCAATCTTACAAGGATTATGATCGGATTGAACTTCCATACATATACAATGCTGGAAATATTAAATATTTCCAGCATATTTATCATTTTCATCATTACATACCTCACACAATCTAAAAATTTCATATGCATCCAGAGACTCATGATCTTTTAAGTATTTCTCTCACATGACTTACAGTAGACTGTATTCGTTTCAGAAATGGATAGTATACTATTCCCTACAACTCAAGAACCGTGAAGATATAAACTCTATCACTAATCTTATCTCCAATTGTCGCACATTCAAAGTTCATTCAAAATAATGTGGTATATGAAATCACAACATACTCATATTGATTTAATACTCGAATTTATATGCTTTGATGTCATCATGAAAGATGACCACATGTGATAAAAATGTTGTAAGCGTGATAAAGACGAAACGTGAAGTAGAGAATTGACAAGCAAGTGCGAACGATAGTAATTTCATTCCTATTTGTCAAGAGCATGCATTTCATCCTTCACAAGTGTAATTTCTAGATCTCGAGAAAAATCGTCGTATCCTTTCCACGTCATGCATCTCCATGGAAGACGGAGATGAATATAAATGACCAAACATATCATGCACCCCAATTTCACTCGTAAACTCTCTCAAGCTGAATGATTAAACTTGTGACTCATATGTGGTTTACATGACACACAACGTGAATGTGGGTCTTTTTAGCTAAAGCGATTAACACATACTTAGAAAACTCTAGAGTATTAAGACATGATCACTATACAATGACATCAGTGTAATCCACCAACGAAGTATCTATGTAGGAGAGCCAAAGAGGTTAACACATAGTTGGAAAACTCTACAGTATCATAAAATGATCGCTAAACAATGACATTTGCGTAAAAAACGAACGAAGTAAATATATTTGAGAGTTAAAGATGATAAAACATAGTTGGAATACTCTAGAGTAGAATGAAATGATCGCTATACAGTGACATTAGTGTAAACAACCAACGAAGTAAATAAGAATATACGAGTTACTATTATATGAGATTGAGAGAGAAGATAGAAGGACGGAAATAAGGATAACAGGAAACAGGGGACAAGGAGGGGAGTGAGACAAGGCTGTGTAACCCGAGACGGGGGTTCGAGGAACCACGGTTCGAACCCGAAGCACGGTAGAGAACGAACTGAAGCGCAGGCAGAGGTGAGAGGTGCGATGGCGTCGGGTCCGTGAGTCGCAGAGCGACGCAGCTTCGAGGCATGGCGAGCTCAGCGCAGGCCAGCGTCCTGCCCCGCACGGCACATGCCGCCATGCTCAATCCCTCAGCGCATTCGAGGCCGCCTCGGGCGACGGTCTGCTGCTCTAGCTCTCGATCGCATTGTCTCACCACGCAGCGAGTTTCTTGTTTTTCCAGAGCCTTAAACCCTGCGAAAGATGGCCGGATTTCGACGAAATTCGGCGGATTTTCGAATTTGGGATTCAGTGCAAATCCGTCTGAGTGGTTTCCTCGTGACAGAGTCGGAAGGGCGGGCTTGGTGTGGCGGGCCTCCGTGGTTTCTGAGGGCGGGGATTCCCCCGTGTTGAGTTCTCCTCCCGCGCCCGGGAAGCCTTTCAAGAATCGCCTGCTGGGAATTTCCAAGTTCGGCAGTGTGATCAACGATGCCGCGGAGTCTTTCTTCAAGAGCGAAATACGACGTCGCATCTTCGTGACGGTTGCCCTAATTCTTGCGAGTCGCGTCGGGTACTTCATTCCCATACCAGGATTTGACAGGCGTTTCATGCCAGGGGATTACCTTGCATTGGTGTCAGGAGCTGTAGGTGAGTACGCATCACGCTGACCGTCGAAGGAAGTAGCACTCTGGACAGGCTTCACGTGTTGATTTGGTTCTGACAATTGTGTGCATTCTACAGTCGTATATGTTGTTGAGAAGTTTTGCCTGTGGATTGGCCGGATGGTTTCAGTGTTCACGGATTACGGTGCACAGTCGTTTTATGTTGTTTACGTTTTGTGTTTCTAAGAGTTTTTGTTCGGGTGCAGAGGAGCTGGGAGACCTGGTCTCAGAGTTGAAGCTGGCGGTTTTTCAACTTGGAATCAGTCCCTACATTTTTTCTTCAATTGTTATGCAGGTAATGCGTCTGGAATGGTCTCTGGTGAAAGCAACCGGGGATTGTTGAGTAATTACTCAACAATGAAGAACTTCGAGTGTGAACTTTATCTTCATCCATTAGTCTTCCATGCTGCAGTGTGAACGATCTTTGCGTTTTTGACCATTATAGTTTGTTGTTGCAGGTGGCTTGTCACTTGATTCCATCACTGTCGAAATTAAGAAAAGAAGGTCTGGATGGTAACGAGAAGATCAAGAAATACACGTAAGGGTTCGAATTTTTTGGTGCCATTATAAGCAGTAGTCATCGGGGTTTTGCTCATCCGATTTCTGATAGATTTATAAAGTCTTTTGCATATATCTCCTAGTTTTTTTGTACCCAAAAGAATTGGAGTTTAATTTTGTTCTCTTTTCTGGTTCACTTCAAAAATTGGTCTTCGTTTCTCAAGCCGGAACACTTATTGGCCTTTTAAATTTGCAGGTGGTGGCTAGCGCTGTTTATCGCAGTCGTTGAATCTCTGGTGGTGTCTTTGCACTCCGCACAGTATTCTCTCTATTCTGCTGAGAATAGGTATCTGTCAGATTCTGAGGGTATTCTGATGAAAAGTCATCAATACACTTATCGCCTGACCATCTTTTACATTGACCTGAATTCTCTTTAGCGTTGGTTTAGGAATTGTCACGTCTGTTACTTTCTGAAGTGGCTTTTGACTCTGTCACCTGCAGTTTGGCATATGTGATGCTTACCTCAGGCTTTTTAACCTTGGGAGCAATGTCAATAAACTGGATTTGTGAGAAGATCACAGAAGCTGGATTCGGTAAGAGCTCCGGCCTCGATGTTTATCAAATGAGACTAATTTCACCAGCTTGTTGGAACACCGTGGGAGAGTGTATACTAAAGTCTAGTTTACTGCTCTGCTTAGCATAGCATCACGTGTTAAGCTGAGAAGCTTCGTATTTTATTTTTCCTTGAATTTATCAGTTTCTAAAACTTGTATCTTAATCTTATTTTTTCACCAGGACAAGGCTCATCTTTGATCATATGTATCAGTATCTTGACTGGATATTCGGAGAACCTCTATCGGATGATTTCCAACCTTTTAAGTACGGGCTTTATTCACCATGTGCAATTATACTACACAACCTCTTTGTGTATTCGTAACAGGGTCATACCGTCGGATCAACTTGCAAATATGAAACTTTACAGTGAGAATCTTGTGTCTAGACTTGTACACTGTAACTCTCATTGATGGAATGATTTAGCTAGAGCACATGCAAGAATTAATTATTTCTAATCCGGAAACAAAAATTTCAACTCCATTACTGCTTGCATCTATCCTTACTTCAAGGCAATGTGTGCAGATGGGGTCACGAATTGGGTTCCTTTGGGCCTCTTTCTCGGATGCTTCATTCTTATCACCATGTGGGCAGTCATAGTGACAGAAGGCCGACGGAAGGTCAAGCTTCAGTATTATGACTTTGAACTTGCGACATCAGCTGGGTACTTTTTTCTAGTGCACACCCTTTTGCGTACAATTTTTTAAAGATTTTGGCCATTTTTTTTATACCTTCTTTCCGATATCTAAGACTCAATTGGAATCCGGTCAAAGGTGCTGGACGCAATTAGATTACCGGTGTCAATCTCGTCCTCTAAACAACACAGGTTGCCCGTGGCGGGCTGGTTCCCCTTGTAAAATCTTTTCAAATCTCTTCAAAAAACATCAACTTCCTTCTCAGCACGTTATCCGCGTTACAAATTGTAACACAGTAGTAGATTCTACTTTAGGCTGTATTCTATAACAGGTATTTCGATTATAGGAAGGCTGGCCTGCTAGTAGTACCGCAAAGCCGTCTGGTATGTTCACCAATATATAAGCGAAATGTGCATACGAGTCTCAAAACGACAAGATACGTAAACGGATGTCTTTTTGACCTTCCCTGTATGTCTCTCTTGTGCAGAAGTACCTCGACTCTCCCGGAGGTCGAACCATATATTCCTTTTAACATAAATCCCACAGGCATGCAACCAGTCCTTACCACTACATACTTGATGGCCGTGCCAGCTGTTATCGCGGGGTATGTCTCTTTCCTTCCTGTGGTGTGGTGTATTCGTGATAGTTGTAGCATTTCAGTTGGTATAGTTCTTGGACAAAAGCCTCTTGTACATTGTGCTTAAAAATTCCATTTAATTTATTGTTATCTTTCGACCTTCAGTTGTAAGCCTTCTTACTAGTGTCAACACTCTTCATCATATATTTAGTCCCACTTTGCTCAAATAGTGCATACTCTTATTAGGTAGTGTGCGCCAACTTTGTCTGCACCAATTATACAAAGGTCTGTCATTAGCAGCTCTGATGTTTACCTTTTGGCATGTTCAGACTTACCGGGAACAAGATGTGGATAGGTATCAGGGACACTCTTAATCCAGCGTTTCCTGCTGCTCCTGGGGCAAAACCTTGGCTGTACTATCTTGTAAATGCTATGTTCATTTTCATCTTCAACGTTCTGGACATCGTGAGTTCTCCTATTTCACATGAGAAAAGGAAGATTTTGTTTTTCTGGGTGCAGTATATTTCGTTTTACAGTCAAAGTTAGATGGATACATATATTGTGTATCATATTGGATTCTTGCTGCTTACAGATGGATACGCCAAAGGAGGTGGCCGATTACATGATGAAAATTGGCGCTCGTATTCCAAATATTAAACCCGGTAGACGGACAATCGAGTACCTTAGTAAAGTTCAAGCTTCTACACGCTTCTGGGGTAAGATTGTGTCCATGTCAGAAAAGCGTTGATTTAAGAATCAAAGAAGCTTAAACTGAGTGAGAAAAAATCCGCATTACTCACCTTGCTCGACGTTTGTAGCTTATAAGCAGCAAGAGCAATATTTATGTCAGCTTTGCGTTCGTGTCCTCTGCATGTTCGCGCGTTGTACGTCTAGACGCTTCTGTAGGAGGTATCATCATTTTAAACCACCTAAACTAAGTGTTGACTGTTGCAGGCGGTTTGCTATTGGCCCTCTTAGCCACAGTCTCAACTCTGGTGGACTACAGGTTCAGGTCTCTTCATCAAGGTGGTACCATTGGTTTCACCTCCATGCTTATTATCGTAAGTTTATTCCGGAATATTTCGGATTGGATATACTTTTGTCTGTAAGTTTGATCTTTGTTTCCATGTCCATGACATTTGGCATCTCTGTTTAGCTCCCTTGGCTTTGACAGTTGTAGATTGAACTGCCAACTTATGGACTTCTGCTGAGATTGAGACGATTTTGTGCACTCAGGTAGGATCCATCGTCGAATTGCGGAGATCCTTCATGGCATACAATGTGATGCCGTCACTAAGCAAGGTCCTTAGACGGTACGGCGTGTAATTATGAAGTTCAACTGCCGGTGTACATAAGCATCCTCGAGATCCCCTATCACGTCTTCGTAAATGGTATTTATTATGAACGCTCGGAGCGCTTTTCTACTTTTGTCTCAAGCTGTACAAATCTCCCTGATGCTTCATGCTTTCCCATTATCTCGTAAGGAGCTCATGTATGACAATACTGAGTCAACGTCTTGCCGTTCTGACAATATGGATATAGAATATCAAATCAGATACAGTTCACGAATGTTTTCTTTTGTCGAGTTCAGGTTGTTTCAGCATTTTTTTTAATCTATTTTGTTCAGTAACAAACATTGAATGAAACTGACGTTTGTTGGTGTTTTCATGAACTACAGAGGGAATGATCGATGATTGCTTGCCATTTTCTACGTCGAAACGGATTCTCATGACAGGGTGGGAGTAAATGTATTCGGTGGGTCATTCAAGGCAGTCCTGGGTTCTTCGAGTGAATCTTGACGGCAGAAAGAAGCTCATGTGTCGCGTCTGCACACACGAGAAGTCTCTTGGACCTGGTCAGGTACGGATGATCTTGATTCCAGTTTCTGCTGGCATGAACATACTTCCGAGTTGGTGTTAAGCGAAAGCCACTTCTATCTGCCATATGTGCAAGCAGAATAGGAACCACAGAAACCCCCTGAAGTTAGAGAGTGATAGGTGACCCGCGAAAGGTCTTCCCGATAGTTTTAGGTGGACAATTTAGATTCCTCGTTGTCTTGTAGAAAGTAGAAAACTACAGTGAGAAGGTTACAGGAGACCCTGCGGAGGTCAAAATCTCCCCTGAATTTTGTTCAGCTGATAAGCCGGGAGGTGCATTAGGATTGCAATAAAGACGTGCCCTACATTTCAAATAGACTTGAATCATGACCATCGAGTGAGTGAGTGAGTGCATATATGTGTATATGCGTGTACTTTGAGTACTAAAGTTCCAAGTCGGTTACGGTTTGAGCATTGGACGGGAAATTTTTCTGCCCCAACAGGAGCATATTTTGCGGATACCACAGGCCGTCAAAATACCACTTTTGCTACTCACACATAATTGGCAGCTTCTCGAACTCAGCGAGAACCTTCACTTGAAGGTCAACATATCTTATATTTTCGATAGTCAATATATCTCGTATATCGAATTTACGTATTTTATCCCAATTTATCAATCGAGTCCTAAGAGAGAACTAGGGACTGACATGGAGCGGAGACGCACCAGCAAATAAAAGCGATGGTTTACAGTGAGAAAACCATCGCGTTTATTTGGTGCAACGTCACAATAAACCCATCCTTGATTAAAAGAATCTTCCAAAGTCAATAATTTTGTCATGGTTTAATCCGTTCAAAGACATCATTTTGGATCTTCTTGCAGATAAATTGTATTAAGAATACAATGTAAACTGCTCGATGTTTGCAGATAATTTGTTATTATAGATATATATCATTTATTCAAGGTTTAAATTTTAAATTATTTTTTTTCATTCTTATCATCATATTTACAAAATATTAAATGATAAAGATCACAAGAATATTTACAAAAGTATCTTTAAAATATAATAAATTATCATAAAAATTTCATTATCTTATAACCATCAATTATATTAAAAATTTCAATTTTTAAGAGTTCTGATTGGAAGCTTTATGAAAAATATTTTTTATTGAATGTTATATTTTTTTTTTGAAAAAATTTCATAAATATTCTTTGCTGTTTATCGATTTGACAATTTTGTTTAAACAATCATTTTTTCATGAATATATATTTAAAGTTTGGATAACAGAATAATTTGCGATTTGAACATAGTCCAAAATATCATGCACTACACTTTCTATTTCAATTTTTAAAGATAAAAATATGAATTTTTAGATCTTAGATGTTTTAGTTATAATCGTCAAATTATACTTCAAATATTGACTAAATTTTAATTTTATTATTTGTGACTTTTTCAACAAATAGATCAATCAGAAAAAATTGACAAAGTATTACAAGGAATCCAATCACACAATATTGTTCCTATGCATTTGATTAAGATATTGCATAATAATGATTTTGATACTTTGGCGTATATCTTTCATACGAAATTCATTAAATTTTAGACGAAATAGGAAAAGAGTTGCTTATATATTGCTTATAAATTAAAAAAAAATTATACAAGTTTTAGCCGCTATATCATTTTATGAAAGAATGGAGTATACAAATGCTCGAAGTACATTGTATGAATACTTGGATATTGATGTACAATAATGACTTACATCAATTAAATTGTATGTTGAATATTTTATATGTTTCTATTTATCATCGATAATTGTCGATATATGGTATCATTTGTAGTTTTACCTAGCCATATCATCATCTATATATTATACATATATATACGTTTGACTTCCACGTAAATTTCCGATGGTGTCAATTTTATTTAATAAAATATTTTCTACAAAAACAAATTTAATATTATTCTTCTATATAAGATGATTGATTGATTGATCTATTTATTTATTTAATTTGGAATTTTTGACTTAATTCTCTCTGAGTTAAATTTAGGGCAATTTTTTTTTCTCTACAAGTTATTGAATAAAAAAATATATCTTCTCAATTTGAAGCTTCTCATAATGCTCAATTTTAATGCTATTCTCAATTATAATTTTATATTCGAGAAATTATTTGTCTCTTTTTATTAGAATAAGATGATAGCATATTCGCGATTATAACTACTTTCCAATCGATGTGTGCATATTCTGAACGAGATCGATTTGTCTACGTTGTTATCTAGTTGATTCAAGTGCACAATGTGCACTTGCATATTACCTTATGTCACAAAGCTGATCAAAGCACTTGATTGCTTTAAAATGCTTGTATCGAGGCTTTTGCTTAATCGAAGCTTGCTTGAAACGATGAAAAAAAAATGTGGTATTAATAAAGCGATGTGCTAGGCTTAAGTGCCAAGAATAATTAGGGTTGTGCGAATGAACCATGAACTGCAGTACGTCGAATGAATTGCAACCTCCACTTACGCGGTAGCATCCGACCGAAAACTCGACCACGCATTTCTCGAAGACGGTGGTGGTTCTGGAGGAGAGATGGTTCAGACAGAGCTCCGAGATCGACAGGATTAGGGTGCGAGGCTCAGAATTCGCCCGATCGGGGATTGAAATTGGGATTGTGATTGCGTGACAGCGAGATTTTGCAGCTGAAGCCATGAACAATTGGGAGATTTTGCAGCTGGCCAAGGGGTTTAGAGGACGAGCGAAAAATTGCATTCGTATTTCGAGGGAACGCGTGGAAAAAGCTCTTCAGTATGCTTATCGAGACCGTCGGAACAAGAAAAGGGATATGCGTGGCCTCTGGATTCAACGCATCAATGCTGGAACTCGTCAACATGGGGTATGTCAGCTGCCTTCATTTGCAAATGATTACATGATTGAGAAAGAATTCGCTTACTGTGAGGATTTGTGGTGCCCGATCTTAGCGCTTATCGGCATTTTCGTTTTGGGATGCTGGTGACAGGTGAACTACGGACAGTTTATGCACGGATTGAACACGGAAAATGTGCAGCTAAACAGGAAGGTGCTTTCTGAAATAGCAATGCACGAGCCTTACAGCTTCAAGACCCTTGTCGATGTATCGCGCACTGCATTCCAACACCAGCACGCCCATTTAAAGAAGTGACCGAGTTATAAATGCGATCGTCTTCGTAGGACTGCTCTCAATTTCTTGGGAAAATGTTGAATTTGTCTTTTAGGCTAGAATGGTGACATGCAATTCCCACTTCCATGCACATTACAGCTGATGGTTTTCATGAGGATTTGGATCTCCCAAAATGTCTCTCATGTGGAGTCTCAGAAGTTTCTTGCCTGTGTCTGATAAATGATAAATGCGAAATTTATTGAGAAGACAATGATTAGATGGGCAGGGGACAGCGCTCGAGGTTTTAGAGACGGAATTTTGCTCCAAGTGCGATACAGAGGTGGATATAAAACCTGAACTGAAGCAAGCAAGCTTACAGGGTCCGGTTACATCGAGAATGCAAAAGAATTTTTCCATGCAGAAAGCAGCGGCTTCTATGAGATGTACACTCCAATTTCACAGTCAGTACTTTGTGTCAAAATTTATATACAACCTTGTGCTCCATGTTGATTTCTGGTTGCAGAAACTGTCTTCTTAGATGAGCATGCCCATCCATATCTCTTTTGCCACAAACTCTTGATCAACATCTTACTTTTCTGAAAATCAGACCGAGATGGTTACGAATATTGACGTACTCTATATACTAGATTTCGCATATGTGTACTTGATGTTGAGTGAGACTGCAGTTTATATAGAAACCACATCTCCAAAGTGCACGTCAGGTTTTGAAGTAGTAGACAGAATAAATGCCCTCTGAACGTAGCTCTTCGTAAAGCTAGGCGATTTTTATTTACGTAACGTAGAAATTGTATTAGATGTGATTGATTATTGTATCGTTTATGTGGACAATGGCTTGTAGGAGTCTTCGGCCTCATGTCTGATGGTATGAGGCAAAGGTTTCTGCCTTTACTTGCCAGTCGTATATCGCAATATTTAGGAACATGGAATTAGTTGATCTGAGTTAGAATCATTCGGCCTCTACCTTATTTGACCTGGAATTTGGTTCAAGGAGACCAAATTAGGGACTCGGATGCTCATGGGCTTGTCGCAAAGTGCACTTCTCACTTCTTTTGGTGAGAAGTATACTTCCGAATTGGGACACAGCCCCTGGACTTAAAGGTCTGGCACTCAACCAGGAAGACCATGGTACTTATTCTGCAACTTTACTGTTGTGAAAGTATCTACTTTCAGTGGAAGCTTTTTAAGTCTCTTGGAATTCTGGCCACACCTTCTGTTCAATGTCTTGATTCTCTTTCGGGCTAATTTGGCTGAGTTTCTATGTTCTGATTCCACTGTCAAGGAATTGCGGTATATTGCTAAGCCCCATCTTACGAGTAAATCTTGTGTGCTCTGCCCGTCGATGACCAACGTCAATTAATCAGGAATGTTAAGAATCAGTAAAAGGTGCGTTATTTCCATACTACCTTAGAGACTATGATCTCATCGAAAATTGCCCCGGAAATGTGGTTCCTGTTAGCGTTTAGATGTAAAAGAACACCAATATTTAACGCGAGAGAATATCGTACAGAAGTGCAAGTGGTACTTTCAAGCTTGGAGTGCCTGTACTACGAGATGGGTGATGAACGAAAGGCAATGTAGGGCCGAATTATATTCAGTTAGAAAAGTCAACGAATGTCAACTTTAATCAACTTTAGAGCCCGATCTTGAAAAATGAAATCGAATGACGAGACGAACACATTTTTGTACCAAAGAGAAAAATTATGTGTTTTCATGGTTTGTACCTGAATGATATTTGTGGCACTGTTTACTCTGTAACTAAAGATGAGATTTAGTCCGGTCAATCAAAAGGTATATGGGTAAATACCAGATTTGATTAGAAAAATGGAGCAAGCAAGAATAAGGTTACAACAGAATACAAAATAATTGTTAATCTCTCAACGCTACTTATATAACACTGAAATAACCTCATTAATCAAACCGAAAACGATTTGAAACTGGCGATCAGTCTGGGTCTAATGATAATTCAGAATAATAATAATAGAAAAAAAAATATCACAATGATAATCTACTCTTTCTTTCGACAGAACAAGTACATCGCAGTGCTCCTCTCATGTAATCACATCACTATGAGCCACGTTTGAAGGGAATCCAATCTCATGGTGATGTTAGAGAGGAAACTATCTCTCTTGAGATAGTGATTTTTAAGGAGCTAACCACAAGGTAAATCTTGGTCGATGAAGCATCTGAGAACTCATAATTAATTAGGCGAACTAAGAGATAGTAAGATGAACGGTCAAGATGGTTGTAGTTGGGATTTGAGTGTAGCATGGCCGTAGGTTACTTTCGTTTTTCTAGTGGACCAAATGAATCTGTTGAGGGTAAGAGATCTTGTGATGGAGAATGTGCAAGCTGATATAAGTTTGAGATATTGAATACAAGTAGAGTATGCCTTACGTTTGTACTTTGCTCAAGAATAACATGACTTTGTGGTTACTGAGGCAAAATTTACATAGAGTTCACATTTCTTGTCTCACTAGGTGAGATAATAACCATATTATTAACAGTCCGTCCCAATGAGCTTAATATCTATCGTCGCATGATGTGAACTCTTCAATGATGACGATAGTGGTAGAAATTACTTGCAGAAGGTTGTGTTTCTCTACAAAAGCTTTTTATACTAGTTGTGTGAGCATACAATAATCAACCAAAATCTATTCATCTTCTGTATAACTCATATGTCTGAAAAATATAAATACTTTTTAGACGTAACATAGGTTAAAAATCTTCAAATTAAATTTTATCATCATATTAAACAATTTAAACATTGGTGTTTTATCATCATGTTAGATCATGATGATGAACATTGATGAAAGACAAATTTTTTTATTCTAAAGTCAAAAAGTAACAATGTTTCATCTCATCATAACATTATCAAAGAATTGGTATCAATCCAGCGCAAATATCCACAGTTTCAAAAGTAAAATTCAAAAGCATGCAGCATAATCTAATAATCTTGTACCACAAACTTGACTAAAATTAATCCACAAAAAATATGGTTCTTGATTAATATTGTTCAAAATTTCAAAATTTCAAATATTTTAAATGCAAGTAGTATGGGCTTCAAATTTTAAATTGACCTAATCTTGAAAACTCAAGTTACAAGTTTGTTTTTGACTATAATCATTTGTATTTTTTTGTGTGAAGTTATCGAATTCTTGTATCAATTCAAATAACTGCTTATGAAAATATTAGATGTTGTGGCATTGAGTTTATTACCTGAAATTTTTCAAATTTTGTATAAAAAATGTATAGGATCCAATTTACAATGAATTTCAATCAAATATAACAAGAAAAATCTCTTTGTTTCTCAGTGTCACTATTAACAACATATTTATATGATATTTATTTTCATCAAATTTATTTAAAAAAATCCTTAAAATATCAAAATCTTCAACTTCCAAAAATTTATTTACTGACATTCATTATGTCATTTGTTTCTCATTTGATAAATTTTACCTTCTTATGATTAATTTTAGACATATGGCATACGTATTTCGGAAATTTTGAGACTATGCTGAAGTTCTAGTTTATCTCAAATTCTTATGCAATAACATTCACAAATTAGAATTAAAGATCTGACATAACGACTTAGTCATATTGAATTGATATTTAAAAAACAGTTCATCTTATTTCAAAACTGTTCATCTCAAAAGATTTGAAGTAACCATTGTATTAATTAGCTGACAATTTTTCTCTGTATTATGATGATTTTATGTCAATGAATATAAAAAACCGTTCTACAAAAATTACTGAGGACAAAAGCATATCTGGACCATCGGATACCAACTTCTGATTTTCAAAGATATTTATATGGATTTAGAAATGAAACGGCTATTATTGGTTTAGAAAAACAAGGGAGCGGCGCCACCCCAAAGAAGGAGGCCCGGAGGTTTAGATCTTTAAAAAAATTTTGACGTAAACTACGAAATTTTTTTCATTTTTATTCTTTTCATATAACTTTTATGGAAATCTTGATTTGAAATTGGTGTTTATTTCGATTTAGAACCACCTTATTCTATACCTTTATTGGATTGCAATCATGCCTATAATCGGAATAAGTACCGCAATTCGGAAATGTTCACTATTTTTAACCGTCACCTATTGACCCTAGAGGAACAGAAAGATAGTTCGGTGGATAAATTTACCCCTTTCTGAATACTATAAAAAGGCTAATGTCGCAATAATTACAGCTCCACAATGATTTTATTTTTAAAAAATCATCTAGATAGAATTATGAATGAAAATAAAATAAAATTTTTAATCCATCATAAATTTTAAATGACTTGATATTTAATGATATATATCATAGATTAACTTCAACATTTGCAAACATTTATTAATGCTGCTTAGAAGTTAATATCAAATATTTTTTTTTTTTCATTTAATTAACTCAGCTCGTGGATGAATAATCTTACTTTTACATAATTTGTATGTTTGAATCTACAACATTTGTTGTGATAGCATTTACCTTTTAGTGACAAATGAGAAAAAATATGCCAATATTTGTCTATCTTCTTTAGAAAAATATATAAAATATTTATATGGTTCATTTCAATTTTATACCATATTTTCAAAGTTAATTCCTTTGATTTTATTGTATACTACTCATGGCAACTTTATCACAGATGAAAAAACTTAATATATTGGCTCTTACATGTACTTTTCTTTTTCAGACCCATTTAACATTTCGTAAAAATATGATTATACTTTCTGAATAAGTTTGATTTTAAATTTTTTATGTAAAAAGATACCATTGATAAGTTTGACATAACTTTTTGGTTGTATATATATATATATATATATATATTTGATCAAGTTTACATGAAAGTGTGTATTTCTTCAATTAAGAATGACATTATTTTAAGATTTCAAATTTTTTTCATGAAATTTCAAGGTGATATACATGTAATAAATGTTCTAAGATTCTCTTGTGATGAAATAATTTAATTTTTTAGTTCTTTATTTGTTGATACAATTTCAAACTATAAAAATGTAAAAATATTTGAATATAGAAATCATGAAAACATTTCGTCATTTTGAGAAGTTCACACGTGTTGAATTGAGTCCACATGGAGTAGAATTGATTCAGATTCCAATAATTTTCGGAAATAAATAAACTACGATGAAATGGGATGATTAGAATTCGTAAGTTGGGAAATACTCTGTCAGATCAATCAAAGGTATGTTAGAAGGTTACTGCCACATCTTATGCACACCAGTTGCACCTTGGATAGCGCGGTGCCATTCGCGCACTAAAAGTGAATGTACATGGACGGTGTCATGACATAAAGGAAGTGAATGTGAGCACAATATTGTACTCGAGAATAAATGGTTGTTATAAAAGCAGGACCGGCAATTTATTTCCGAGATCACTTATTGGAAGATCTGGCTCATACTTGGAAAGGAGACTCGAGTTAGGAGAGTTATCTGAGTGGAGGAACTTTCGAGTTTATACCTGAACCCGGTCCTGCAGCGCATTCAATGTCTTTACTCCTCTCGCAAGAAGCTATGCTGTCTCCGAACGTTGCCATATGCCGTGGTTAAAGTAGATTCTTTTCACTTCTGCGGTAAAATCCATGGCTCCTCATTTAGAGGGAGCGAGGGAGCGAGGCTTCTGAGACGAGCTGCAAGTGCCAGGAGGAAGGTATAATATTGTTGATTTCCAAGGTCACATATGGATGAGCATTGGCAATTTTTTTTGCTTTAAAGAGCAATCGTGTTAACATTAGGATGTTTTACTATTATTTATATACAAATGGATGAGCATTGGCAATTTTTATTTTTTAAAGAATACTCTTGTTACGCATAGGGCGTTCTATTGGTATATAAATATCCGATCTCTTAGCGCTATATGATATACTACCCATTGTGATGCTACCGTAAGATTTTTTCTTTCTTATATATGTACATGTGGATGAGCATCGGAAAATTGAATAATACTTCTAAATGCTACTCTTTTTAGGCATGAGATGTTTTATTGTTATTTATCATATTTCATGTTTTGATTTGATAGTTTTGATATCTTAGCGCTATATAACATACTTCCCACTGTGACGCTATAGTTCCTAGCCACTGTTTCTTCTTACTTGTAACGCTTGATGGGGTCTTCCCATCATTGTGTTTCTGTACTTGGCCTCTGGGGTCGGATTACATGAAAAGGTGATGATGCAGATAAAAAGGTATGAACGAAATAGGATCCCCGATTGCAGTAGATTAGAATAGAACTTCTTTGAGGGTCATAAATAGATGTGAAAGGTCAGGATCGTCGCTAACATGGTTGGCATGTGGATGTCGTAAGTTCGGCGGGTGCCTACTGCCAGCGAGAATGATATTCAACTCACATGGACCAAAGCTTCAGCAGTATTAAAAAAAGAAGAAGGAAGAAGACAAGTGCCTTTGGGTAAACATATGTCTGGTCAAATTAGAAGATGGAGTAGCCTGTCGAAGAAATTTCCTAAAATTCATATTCCTTGTGAGAGTTTTCTACCGAAGAGCTGCTTGCTATGTCCTAACGTCCGAAAGTTGATGCAAAGCAGAGAGTCCAATGTCGTTACACCAAGTGCTCATCTACTTGAAATGAAATGTAGATGAATTTGCTCTACCAGCGTCAGATTTGTGTAACTTCTTCAGGAATTTTGATGGGTTCCAGTCGATGACATGAAAGTCATAATATCTGCTCTTGCTCTTGTGCATTGTGTGAAGGAAAGTGAGGGAGTCAGGTACCGTTTGGGAAAAGAAACCAGAAAAGGCGATTAAGAAAATGAAGCCCTAGAGACTGGACTGTCACTGGCGCCTATGGTGAGAGATAGCGAGAGGTAGGAAGACATCGTTGTTTCACGCTTTATCATACGATCCTACCTACCTTCTGTTACAGGCTAATAAATAGAGCATATTCTTCATGTCCAATGTGTGCACCGTATGTTCATTTAAGGAGGAGAACCTCGAGCTGTAACTTGATATGCTCTCTTGTGACGGGAGTGAGTGTCATGCCGTTTGACTGCCAAGTTCTTCTGAGCTTGACTCCCTCACACGATTTGACTACGATGATCATCATCATAATCATCATGTGGTAGAATTAGAGAGATGCACAACTTCTCATCACTGCTAGAAGGAGGAAGAGGAGGAGGAGGAGGCACACTTCAAGGAGCAGAGTTACACCTCAAGACCACTGGAGGGAGAGTTTTGCAGATGTGGTCCTCTTCGTTCCTCTTCAGTCAGCGTCCCCAAAATGACCAAAATGATCTAAATTTCCAAAATCTCCAAAATCACCAAATTCACATGCTTGCAGCTCGGAAGATACGCACCAGCGTTCAATTCAAGAGGTCTCTCAAGGCGAGAATGAAAAGATGTGCAGCCGGGCTCGAGGGTTCAAATAAAGACGATTCCAGATTTGTACTGGAGCTCGCGAATTACAAGGGCGTGAGAGTTTGCAGGTTAGGACACAGGAATAATTTGGGGAGGCATTAAAGTGCACATTCACTCACGCACTCATCTCAGGGTGAGACAACACAGGCAGGCAGGCAGGCGAGGCGGGGCGGGGCGAGCAAGGATCCACTCGCGCATGGAGGAGGAGGAGCATCATCCATCGGGTCGGGGCGGGTCGGAGCGATCGAGAGAGCCGCAGACGAGCAATTCGAGCGGGAAAATGGAGCCCTTCCGGAGCCGGGCTCGCGAACTCGCAAGTCATAAATAGCGCAAGCAAGACGGAATGGAATGCCTTCCAATGGCTTCTAGTGCATTGCCATGAGGACGTTGGAGCGGTTTTGCCGTGGCCCTACTGCTCAGCAGTTGAAACCGAAGCCCGCATTCGTGGCGGTATTGCAAAGAAGTGAACGCCCCCCGCATTAATCAACCCGCCCCCAAATTATGCAAACCATGTCGTAGCCCCGCCCGCCATGCCATGCCAGCCTGCGCAGGAAAGCTCTCCCTTCCTCTCTCTCTCTCTCTCTCTCCCCACCTTTCGGATGAAATCTCGATCGCATGCTCGCTCTCGAACAAAATCATTGCCCCATAGGAACGCAGGCTCGGAGCTTGGAGCTCAGCAGACTTGCAGGGAGGCAGGCAGGCAGGCAGGCAGGGCCATGGATCACGTCTCTCGAGCTTGAGCTTGAGCTGCTGCTGCTGCTGCTGTCGTCGACGAGAAGCTGAGCGATCGGACTTCAGTTAGCGAGCGGGCGGGCAGTTTGGGCAGTCGGGGCAGGAGGGCAGGAGTGCGGGCAGCGGGCAGGTGGGGGCGAGATTACGCTGTCGCGTACTGCATCTCCCGCCCTTCGCTTTCTTTCTTTTCGTCACGCACGCACGCTCTCGCAGTCAGGGGAGCCCAGGCAGGCAGTCAGGGTCCCAGGGCTGGGCCCGGGGTGCGGGGCGGGGTTCGGAGTCCGGCTCGGAGGCCGGTTCGGGTCGGGAGCGGGGGAGAATGAATGGAAGAGCGAATTGAGGAGGAAGTTCGGAGCAAATGAGGAGCGGAGGGCGAGGGGGGCCAGTGAGCGTTCGGGCCGACAGATATAGATACAGTGCGCCAGTACTGTTAGCGCTGCGGGGAGGGGGGAGCAGAGCGGGGGGAAGGGGAGACGGAGAGAGAGAGAGAGAAGAGAGAGGTGTTTGGGGTCCTTAAATCCGTTTTCTGTCTTGACTCGAGCTAGCTCGGAAGTCCATTTGTGTGTGCGCGGGGCGTGAGGGGCCTCCGAATCCGGCGCGTGTCTCGAACCCCCAGACGACGACGACGACGACCTCGACGACTCGCGAGCAAGAGTTTTGAACGGGCGCGCGGAGGGAGTGTCGAAGAATCTTGTAGTACCCGCTCAACGAATGGTGCTCGCATTTGTCTCTCAGTCCTCTGCAGCCCCGGGCTCCCTCTGCCTTCGAGAGCGAGAGAGAGAGAGTGCTAGAGTTCGGGAACCCTAGCATGCCCGTGCCCGTCCTGCTGCTACTACTGCCACTGCTGCCGGTGATGGTGACGCTGCTGCCACTTTCTGCCCGTGGTCGATGCTGATGCTGGTGCTGGTGGGGGTGGTGCTGCTGCTGCTGGTCCCGGATTGGCGAATTCGAATGCCTGCGGTGGTTTGCTCATGCGTCGGGCGTGACGAATAGTTAAAACGATTAAATATCAGGATCTTTAGGGGTTAGCTTTGGCGAGTCGTTGATCACGTAGGTTCAGTACAGGGTCACTCACTCGCTCGCTCGCTCTCGCCCTCGGAGGGCCTTCCTTCACTCCAATTTGTCGACGGGACGGCGAGTTTGGTTGCTCTGCGGTGATTCGTGCTTTTCATCCCTCCTCTCCCTCTCCCTCCCTCGTATCCAGCTACTTTCTTTCAGTCGCGTGCGTCCCGGCGGCGGTGGTGGTGGTGGTCCGCGCGGTGCGAGCCCCGAGCGCGTCGCCAATTAGCCTTTTCTTCCTTTCCTTTGCTCGCGACATTGTGTCGGGACTCGGGTGCTCTCTCGGTGCTCGACCTACCGGGCTCACGATTTCCGAGCGCGGGTGCCGTTGGTGTCGACAATTCCTCGCGTGCCCTCTGCGTCGCGGAGGCTCATTGTCGATGGCACTCGCTCGTCGTCGTCATTTTTCGAAAGTTCTTGCCTTGTTCCTGTAACCGTGGCAGCTTTTCGTTCTTGCTTCTGATAGAGCCGCGCCTTCGTCTCGTTGGCCCTCATCCTGTCCGACCCTTCGGCCCTCCTTGGCTCCGCCCTTCCGGCCGCAGGTTCTCCCGCGTTTTTCAAATCTGTGCTCTCCTTTCACGTCTTTCCTCAGCTCTCTGCTCCGTACGGTCTCTTCTCCGAGCGCCTCGCTCTCTTCGTCTTTACCCTATTCGTCTTCCTTGTGCGGCTTCTGTGTCTACTCGCCCGAACAGAAGAGCGATTCCATGCGCTTCAAACCAAAGAAAGGAGCGAGGAGCAAGTCTCAACTGTCCATACTCTTGAAAATTGACGTCGATTTTGTCGACATATCTGCCCACCGATTTCTCCTACCGTCGAATGACAATTGGGCGAGTTTCAGGAATGAGGGAATGCACGTGTAGCCATGCTTCCTCATGGTGGTGTACTGTTGCCGAGGAGTTTCAAGAGATACGATGAGCTTTGATTGGAAGGGAAAATGATGAGGAGCTTTAGGGTTCTGGAGCCACTTTGGAAACAGGGCTTCTGGGTTGCGAGGCCCTACCAGCACGAAATTCTTCCATTGCGCAGGTGAGTTGATATTCTCCGCAGTCCCGGTCGCGCTACATTTTATCGACTTTTCTGGCCGTCAGCTGTGGTGAGGCAGATCGATTTTCTCGTTGTTCTTGTCACCTAAACCTCGCTTTCCATGCTCGAGCCTACTGTCCAGTGCTTCTTGCTCACCTTGTTCGATTTGTAACCGGCCTTTGAACCGCACGTCTGCGCCCTCGGATTCACTCCTCTGCAGCCGTTATCTTCCCTCCACTCGGTACACTTCGCCAGCGCTAGATCGGGTCTCTTCCACGGGAAGTTGCAACGACGCTGCCAAATTATTTTGCCAAATTAATGAGCAGGGTTTCCCTCCGAAACTACGACGAACACCGTAACACCCACGGAACCTTACGTCCCTCCAGCATGTATGCGCCTCTGTTGTTCGATTTGTGCATCCTGTGGGGATGTGCATCCTGTTCGTGTTAGTCAGTGCGTGATCATGCCTCTTGGACGGGATATGCACACTTGGACTCTGAGCTTGATTTATAAATAAGAATGTTTCTTTCTTCAGTCCTCAAAGGGAGAAAGAAGAATTTTTTTTTATGTCCTCTCACCGATCGGTCATACGTCTTAATGGGGAGGGGGTGATTCTACTACGCAGGAGTACGCGTGACTCAGGTACACTGGTAGTGGTTACTGATTCGTGATGCGCGATCATCGTTCAGTCCACAAACAGACGAGGTGTTTCGAGCTCAGTCAAGGAAAGTGTAAATCAATAGGCTCGTAATGGCCCAGAGCCTTCGAAGATTTCTGACGGTCCTGATAACTATGTATATTCGTCGTTAACGTTCTTATGGGTTAAATTGACTTCCTTTAACATACGTGGGATGGGATGCAGCACTTTTCGATGGACGGTAAAGTCCCTTAGATATTCCCTACATTATTTCCTGAGCTGTAGCTTTAGATAGGCTGAATTCATCAAACCGAGCTGCAAGACCTGTCGCTTCTACTTCGTTCATTTGTCCTCCGTTTCCTAGAATTTTGTCGTAAGACCTTGCGCATTTTTCCAGTCCTATCCTTGAGGACCTATAGAGGCTAAGCCACACGATGTGGAATCTGAAGTGGTCCGCGTTGTCATATATGTATTTCTAAAGTGAAGCCTGGGAATAGATGTCGCACAGTGGTAGCAGTAATCTGGATGTTGTATAGATTCAGTTCCCTCTTGTTGTATTGCTGTACTTTCTGATAGGAGTTCATGTGTGTTTCTCGGGATCTTCCATCTGCACGAGCTATCCAGTTTGTTTATACTTATCCCCATTGTCAGATTCCCACGATTTATATGTTCTAATGTTCTGTTATAACGTAATAATTCTGCACGTTTCAATTTCTCTTCGCGGCGCATCCACTTGCGTTCATGTTTCTCCAGTTCGTGTAGACGCTTCATGGCCCAATTTCAGAGCCAGCGTAGAACGTTCTTGATACTGCCAGGAGATTTTTGCCTCCTGTAGAGTATGTCTTGATGTTTCTTGTGTTTTCCTGATGAAGTTTGTGTACAGCACGTTCAGCACCGTGCTTCCACCTATGAACTTGACCTGTTATCTGTAGTTCATCAGGTCTTCATACCACGCCTCTAGAAAATACTTCAAAACGTTGTTGTGGGCATTAGGTATCTCATGGTGCGTTTGTTGACTGGGAACCTGGTTCGAAGAATTATCATGAAAATGTGGGCTTCTTGGAAACCTCCATGAAGTTCATCTACGGGTGAAGGAAGTTAATGATTTTAAGTGTGAGAAGAGGATTAACTTCTTAGAAAATAGGTTTTGGGTAGACGTGCTGGCTTCAAGAAACTGAAGATGAATGCTTGAGCTCAGAGATTTGAATTTGTATTCTTTGAAACCCAAGTTCGTCTCGAATGGGATATATGAACATCTGTTACGTCATGTGGTGACAAGAGCTAGCACTACCTAATGATCGTCGACTTTTTTCCTGTAGAGAATGGGTTAAGCATGATCATACAGGTAGCTTAAGCTCCTCTATATCTAACTCTTACAATAACAGAGTCATACCCGTCGTAAGAAGTTTCAACTCGATGGACAACGTCTGCAAAGTTACTTGATTGATATCCAATCGGATGCTGTTGATTTCTTCATTCGTGCTATCTGTTTAAATTTTACACTTGAAACTGATCTTTCGCAACGTGCAAAGAGCTGCCAATGTCCTTATCTTTCTTTGCTTTTCGTCTCGACGTTTAATCCACACATTTGCAAAATCTAGTTATCTTTATCTGCCAAGGAGCGTACATTACAGCCTTGATCTGAGGTGAAGTACTCAGTGAAACAGCGCAAGGAGGACAATAAGCTTTACCGTTTAGTTGCGCTATTGTTTCCATGTTCTGATCTCAGCAAACGGAGTAGTTTGGCACCTGATCCTGCTCTACTTCACTTCTAGCGCTACCCCACTATCTGTGGAACTCTGCGTTCTGTGATCATTTAAAGTGTTTTTTATTCGATTGTTGATATTTTTTTATTGTCTCTTACTTTGGTGATGAAGTTTTTGAAGGTCTTGGACCCAGAAGCTTATGGCCCGCCTCTTCTGATCAATTCAAGAATTTTTGCAGGTATCGAGGCCGGAAACATTGACACTGTCACTGAGTGAGACGAAGGGAAGAGATGGCCTGCTTGGCTCCGTTCGTGCCTTTTGTTGGAAGGATGTGAGCAGAAAAGTTTTCGACGATCAAACTGCTGCTCTCATAATGGGAGTCATGCACTTCGAAACTGGTGGTATTAGCCTTTCAACAGTACAGTAGGGGCAGATTAGTAGTCTCCGAAAAGAGGAGTTAAGTAGGTTTGTCTGACGCTTGGGCGAGGTGCGAGAACTATTGTCAGTTTGATGCTCACCATGGAGTGCAACAGGGATGAAGCCGTGAGAGCAAGGGATATTGCCGAAAAGAAATATGCAAGTCAAGACTTTGCAGGAGCCAAGAAATTTGTGCTCAAAGCTCAGCAACTTTTCCCATCTCTCGAAGGCCTCTCTCAAATGTTGCCTGTCATGGAAGTACACTCGGTAGCACAGTCCAAGCTCGGGGGTGGAGAAATGGATTGGTATGGTTTACTGCAGGTTGAACCCTCAGCTGACGATGGTTTGATCAAAAAACAGTACAGGAAGTTGGCATTACTTTTGCATCCTGACAAGAACAAGGCCGTTGGTGCAGAGGCTGCGTTCAAGCTTATCGGGGAAGCTTGGGGAATACTGTCTGATAAGTCGAAGAGGCAATTGCATGATATGCGTAGGGGGGTGAAGATGAAACCAGGTGCTGCTCGTGTTGTTCCCTCAGAGCACAACGCTCATTTCCCCGCGGCTTACCACGGTGCAGCAGGTCCTCAACCCGCTCCTTCATCCACATTCTGGACCTCCTGTCCTCGTTGCAAAATGCAATACCAGTACTTGCGAACTTACGAGAATTACCAACTGCAATGCCACGAGTGCAAGGAAGTTTTTAAAGCACGTGAGATTAACACGGGAGTGCCCAACGGAGGGTACGGAGCCCATGCGTACCCTCCCTATGCCGAGAGTCATCGGCAGGACTTCAACTTTTCGAAGATGGCTTTCAATGCGTCAAATGGCTTCATGCATGGACCTTTTCCAAGTTCATTTCCAACTAAACAGCCACCTACGAGTGCCTCTGCTGGGGTGTTTTCGCAGGCTGCAGCGGAGGCAGCAGCTGCAAGCAAAGTGGCCGCAGCTGCGGCTGCTGCTTCAACAGCTGTGCCAGCGAACAATGTCGCTGCCGATGTCGTGCAGCAAACATTCCAGAAGGTCAAGCGGGATAGACAGGAAGCTGAGAAGGAGACGAAGAGAAAGGAAAAGGAGTTGAGAAGGAAGGAAAGCGAAGAACGTCGTAAAGAGATCAGGAAGCAGCGTGATGCAGCGCGTCAGCAGGAGGCTATGGATCGTCTGCTTTTGAAGAGGAGGGAGAATGATCTTAAAGTGGAAAGCAAACGCAAGTTGGAAACAAGAGCAACTCGAAGACTGAAGAGGAGGAGACGTGGTAGTGGGCAGGAAGAGGAAGAAGAGGTAGAGGAGGAGGACTTCAAAGTTCCTGAGCAACTGAATACATTTGTGTCTGAGCAACCGAATGCACCTGTTGAGGAATTGCCTAGGCGACGATCTGCTCGTGCAAAGAAGAACGTTTCTACGTACAAAGTTGACAATAGTGACTCTGATATGGAAGATTTTCCTGCACCCAAGCGGTCGAAGTCTGAAGACGAAGCCGAAAGTGAAGCTAGTGAGAAGGTCAGTCTTGATGACAGAAGTGGCAGGAACGCAGGTTCTCAGCAGGCCGAGAATGGCGGAAGGGCAGAGAAAGGCAAGTCTATAGCCCAGGATGAGAAGCGGTCAAGTGAAATGAACGGCGGTGGGGAAGTACGGTCAGATGCTGAGGACGAGCTCAGGGACCGGAATAAATGTGGAGTGGAGCCCAAAGTGTCCCACAAAAATGGGGCTAGTGTTTTTCCTGAGAGAGCCACATGCAAGCAGGCGAGCGCCGAAACACCAACGAAACAAGAGGATAAGTTGGTAGATTACCAAGGTCAAGACAGTCCAAGGGTCAGTCGAGTGAAGACGAGTAAAGTCATCTCTAAGAAAGACTCTTCGGCCACGACGGATGAGAGGGCTCGATGCGACATTGCAGCTGACCAAGAGGACAGGAAGGACAGGAAGTTAGAAGAGAAGAGAGACGAGAAGAGCCCATGTGTATCACCCACCAGAATTCTCAGAACGAGAAGCAAATCCTCCGAACTCAACAAAAAGCAGTCCCCCAGGTTTTCTCATGAAATGGTTCGGAAGGAGGGTGAAGGGAAGGAAGTAAGCTGCAAATCGGAGCGGAAGCCCCTCCAATCAAGCTCGACAGGCACTTCAGCGTCATCTGACGAGGACGAGGAAGAACACATAGACGTACCGGATCCTGACTTCCATGATTTTGACTCGCGGCGCACCGAAACGGACATTCTAGCAGGACAGATTTGGGCAATTTATGATGATCAAGATGGAATGCCTAGGTTTTATGGTCGTATATCTCGAGTGTGTCTTGCACCTTTTAGAGTGAATCTGTGTTGGCTGGAGCCTACTCCCGCCACAGAACAGAGCAACACCTGGATGGAAGGATCTGGTCTCTCAATCACGTGTGGAGAGTTCAAGATTGGGAAAGCGACGATATCAGAGCAGATCAACATATTCTCCCACATGGTTTTAGACAAGGTTGGAAAAGGACCTGTGAAGATCTATCCAAGAAAGGGCGAGGTCTGGGCCACTTATAGAGATTGGGACCAAGATCGCACAAATGGACCTAAACCTGTTGTAAGATCGAAGGGAGATGGGCATACATACTCGTATGAGATGGTCGAGGTTCTAAGCGACTACAGTGAAGAGAAGGGTTGCAAGATCTCAAGGTTGGCAAAGGTAAAGGGATTCAAGACTCTCTTCCAGAAAATTGATGGCTACGGAGCAATCAGGCAGTTTCGATCATCTGACCTTCCCAAGTTTTCGCACCTTGTCATTTCCGAAAGAATGTACAAAGATGAGGCCCTTGGTGTTCCTATCGGAGCGTTGGAGCTGGACCCTGCCGCAACTCCTATGGACCTGATTCTGGGTTCCTCCTCAAGATAGGGTCTTTACTTTGGCCTTTTCTCAAGTTGCGGACTACGTTGTCGAAAGCAGGAATGTCTCTATCCAGCGATCATCATTCGGATACTTGTATCATATTACTCTTGGATCTCACGATCAGATTAAAGTTGAGAAGGAGCATCCACTTTCGGGAAGGAGGATGTTTGAAACTCGTTTCCCCAGGATCATGATCTAATGTAAGACATTCCTCCTTCCCGACGGTTAAGCACACGGACGAGGCACGGCCTGGCTGCAACTCGAAGTCTTTACCCCATGGCACGGTTGCATGAAAGTCTGAAGGAATGGACCAGCCTTGAACGGCCCTCAATCATGTGGAGGGGGCCTCTCAAAGGTTTCAGTTGTGCAGATTGGAGTTGGAACCTGACTTTTAGGCCCACAGCGCGTCCGTTCTTAAATCCAATTGTTGATATTTTCGGCTGTCGAAGGAGGTTCTTCTCAGTGTCTAGTCGTTGGGTTCCCTACGAACAAGGTTGAGATTTCAAGCAAACTTTAACTCTTGCTCCAACAACGAGAAGAGACAGTCATTGCGGAGACAAGTCATCTCTCAGTTCCTACATTTTTCAGAGAGAGAGAGAGAGAGAGAGATAGAGAGAGAGAGATAGAGAGAAAGAGAGAGAAAGAAAGAGAGAGCATGAAGAATCTTATATGGGAGGAAGGACCCACTTCTGGTTTCTGTTCCAGCAACAGCTGTAGCAAAGGATTCAAATCTCGCAGCTGGCTTCTCTCTTTAAGCAATTTTGATGGGTCTACGGGTATGGTCAGTGATTCCTGGCGTCCATGAATCGGTTGTCAAGGCATTGGAGCGCGAAGGCGAATGGATGAGATACCTATCAGAAACGGTTCATGGTATCATTCCTGACCACCTCTTTCTCTTTGTAAATTGGCCCCATTCTTTATGGTAGTGCGGTGATGTAGCTCTGAGCAGGTAGTTTAGTTTGGCGGTGCTACAGGTGGTATTCCAAACCTCAGTAAGTCTTCACAAAAACGATGAGCAGAGAGGACGGCAAGTGTTCAGACGGGAGAGACCTGTGATATACAAACTTCCTTCTCTCTTAGATGCAGTGAATGCCACGCATTTCGAAACCAGTCAGAGCCTTTCACAGACAGATGTCTCGCCCCTGTTCTTTAGAAACAGAATGGATGAGCGGAAATCGGACGTCTGTTCTGAACCGACAGACCTTCAAATGTAAATGGAATGTTTGTTCCTTTATCTGCGTCCAAGACTCCCGACTGCGGTTCAGCAAGTGACCAACGTAAACAAAATCTGGGGCCTTTGATATGATTGTTGCTGCCGTTCCGAATGCTTAGATCTCAGTCGTCACACTCTCATGCCTGCACTGATTGAACGTTTGGAATAATTTGGGTCCACCTCTGTAGGTTTACCAGGCAGGTGTAGCTCTTCTCGTTACCCGTCTCTGAGAAAACCCCGGGGACAAGTTTCCAATATCCAGTGCTGTCTTGCTCGTTGACTGTGTCATCCGTTTCGGCGGGTTCATAATACGTGGTCCTTAGTCACTGAGAGCAGTGTTGGTGGATATTACCTCAGGTCATCTGTGTCATTTCAATTATGCAAGACCAAACATCATCGACGAGGGTATCATCAAAGCATATTTTGTATTCCACTTTCTTCTTACCCTTCTGAACATCTGATCAACTCATGAGTAGTCCAGAAATTGCTCTGACTGCGTGCAAATGTACGAGAAAGGTAACGCGTACAGAAACTGTCGGTGGGATAACATAGCAAGACGGATGGGAAAATATCATGTGGTAAACTTTGCTTATGATCTGAATGTGCAATATTTTTCATTTTATCAAGGCCCGAAGAACCATCAAACGTCAAGGGGATGGCCTTCAAGTAGAAGATACTCGTTAGTGTCATTGTAATCATATTTTATGAAGTATATCAATTTCAATCACCAGCGTCAATGTTACACGCGTTGGGCATCGTTTTGAACCTAAGTGTCCAAAAATAGTAAATACTTGAAGTATAGAGCAGCAGTAAAACTCGGAATACCTTTCCAATAGCAGAATCTGATTCTATCATAGGACTGATTTTTTGTATGACTTATATCGATGTATGACAATTTCTCATTGTGAATAGAGAACTATGATTTTGTATCCATACTCGTAACATATTACCACCGAGTTGATTTAAGTGTACAAAATGTAAAGTGGAGTGCATATCATCAAGCTAATAGAAATTAATTCTGGTTCAATGCTAAAAACTACTTGTGCAAAGCCAACACGAAAGGATTTAAAAAAAAAGCTTGAGTGTAATCTAATTACATGTGTTATGGTTTGGACTAAAGCATGCACCTCTTTTCAAATATGACACACCAAGATCTAATATCTATTTTGTGGACGATTACCGCAATGAATGACAAGACATTGAGCACTTATACTGTTAGATATTGGTTGTGTAGTTTATAGCTTCGTGGTGCTTCTAACCTGGATGGATAATTGGCATATCTTACCCATCTTGCTATCGAGAGCGCTATTACGATTACACTTGGTCTAGTTTATTGCGATTGTATCATACATACTGATTTCTTTTATTTTCCAAAAAGCTAGACTTCTATTCAACTTGTTTATTTTTGTATGTGGAACAATGATGATCATCAGCAGATTCTTATTCTTGCTTGCAGATTTCTTATCATCGTATGTGTTCCAACGTTTTAGGTGGATCGTGGTAATTTTGTTCATATGATACTTGAATTTTCAACTTTGTGATTACCATAAGGCATGTGCATTAATTTGAAGTTATTTTGATCATGAATCTTATCTTTTGTTGAATTATTTTCATGGTTGAATTATTTGTTTGAATCTAATTTTTTTTTTCAAGTAAAAATTATTTTCTTTCAAAATAATTTTTAATTTGATGTTATATAATGTCTAAAACAAACCAATGAACTCTTTCAATTGGATTTCTTCCATCGTTGTTAAATCTTGAGATACACTTCAATAATTCAAAAAAACCAAATAAATCTTTAAATTTATAATGAATGATTAATTCTATGATGGTATATGTATCGCCGTACAAATATATAAATATGTATGTATCGCCATACAATTTACATCAATGACATGTTACTCACATACACACAAATGACACGAGTACGTACACACTCAAATATACCACAACTGAAAAATGAAATGAAATGAGAGAAATGAAAACATGTTGTAATGTAAGACTATGGTTTATAGAGAACCTCATTTGAAGATAGAAACGTAAATTCTTAAGATGAGAGATATCAACAATGGTTCTACTCTCCTTATATAGCTGTCACCAACAAGTACAAAGAGATAAAATCTAATCCCACCATCCATCCCCCTCCTAGTGGATGGATGACGTGCCGGATAATTCTAACAAGCACACGGATCGCTAACGTGACGCTCCCAATTAACACACAAACTAACACACTCAATCCTTAGCTACAAGCACACGGATTGCTGACTTGGCACTGTCAACTAACACATCCACTCTGTATCTACCAAGTGCGCGGATCGCTGACGTGACAACTATGACTAGTTTCTATATCAATATTTATAGTAACTTCTACTTTAGTTCTAACTAACTAAAGATGGTTACAAACCTTCATCATTTTAAGATGCAACGTATTCGTTGCACATACGTTCAAACTCCTGAACTATCAAAGATGCATTTGTTAAATTTTTAGCTGATTCCCAAGTTGATTCATACGATGGATAGACTTTCCATTGAATCAAATACTCTACTTTGGTATATTTATGACCTCGAATACGTTTCTTGAGTATATTTTCTACCTGAAACTCCTCATGATCTGCTATCAAGGTTGGAAGAGGAGGTGGTGCTGGTTGGTTGGTGAATTGTTTTGATCGTGGTACAAGTTTTCGCAATCGTGACACATGAAATACTTGATGTATTTTTGTATGTGACGGAAGTTCCAACTTGTATGACACTTCACCAACACGCTTCGAAACCAAAAATGGATCAATGAACCTAGGGTTCAACTTTGATGTTACTACAAGATACAAATTCGTTGTAGTTAACCAAACATGATCTCCAACCTCAAATACCACTTCTCTACGATGAGCATCGGCATGTTGATTTTGCTGATTTTGAACTATCACCCATTTCTCCTTGGCCTGATGTAGTCCTTGATGAATATGCTCCACAAATTCGTTGACTGCTGCAACTTTGGTCGAAAACTACTCTCCTTTGGGAAGTCTCATTAAACTTGAAGGAGTTTTAGGATGAGCTCCATACATAAAAAAAAATGGAGACACTTTTGTGGATACATTAATAGAATTATTATATATAAATTCCACAAGTGGCAAAATGTTGTTCCACTTTTCTTGCTCTTCTAATGTGAATGCTCGTAGCATATCCTCTATGGTTCTATTTGCCCTTTCCGTTTGTCCATCAGTTTGATGGTGATAGTCTGTTGACATTGCTAGTTTTGTTTTGAAAAAAGTAAACAAAATTTTCCAAAATAAACTAGTGAAGTGAGTAACTCTATCCGTGATTAACACTTTGCTTAACCTATGATTCAAAAAAATTGCATCTAGATACAATTGAGCTAGTTGTGTAGTTGTTACTGTTTGTGTGGTTGGCCTGATGTGAATCATCTTGCTCAATTTGTCCACAAAAACCACCACTGAATCATGTACTAACTAAGTCCTTGGTAACTCACATACAAGATCCATGGTGACATGTTCTCAACTGTGTTCGGGAATAGGAAGAGACTGTGATAAACCCGCTGGTTTTTGATTACTTGTCTTGTTTTGTTGACAAGTAACACAACTTCGAACATAAGACTCCACATCCTCACGTATTTTGGGCCAATAGTACACTCGTTGTATACTCTCCACGGTTTTCTCCACTCCCACATGACCTGCAATGGCTGTGTCATGACTTTTTGCCAAAATCATTGTGCGCAAATCGTGATCTTTTGGAATCCATATACGCTGATTGTGAAACGCCAAACCTTGAGATTTCTCTGCCTTTCCAGTTTGTAGTGCCCAAGTGATCTCTTCATCTTCCTTTGTGGCTTGTGTCATCTTGCTCCATCAATCAGCCTGAATTTTCACTTCTGCAACATGATTCAAACAAGACATGCGTGTGAGAGCATCTCCAAGTTGCTTCTTTCCCTCCACGTGCACAATCTTCATGTGGAAGTTTCCAAATCTTCTGAGTTTCCAAATAAACCAAGGGTTTATGATCGGTCTCCACCACAAACTCCTTATCACCCAAGTAATGCTTCCAATGTTTGGTTGCCAACACGATGGCTAACTCCTCCCGTTCTGTTGTGTGATAATTTTGTTCCACCGCCACCAACTTTCGAGAACAGAAAGCAACTAGATGTCATCCATCCTCCAATTCTTGTTGAAGTATGCCACCTACTATTGTACATGATGCGTTAGTGGCCAACTTGATAGAACGGTTAGGATCATACCACTTGAGAATAGGTGTGTGTAACAAAGCATCTTTTAGTGCTTGAAAAGCTAACTCTTGAGCTGTTCGCCATTTCCATTTTTGACTTTTCCCTAACATGGAAGTCAAGGCCTGAGCTAGGCGAGCAAAACCTTTCACAAATCTACGATAGAATCCAATGAGCCATAGAAAACTCTTCAATTGAGTTTGATCCTCAGGTGCTATACATTTCTGAATGGCATCTATCTTCTCACTCATCACTTGGAATCCTGTAGCTGTAACTCTATGACCCAAGTAATATACTTCTGACTTGCCAAATTCACATTTAGAAGCTTTGGCATACAATTGATTGTCTTTTAAAACTTGAAATACCTCTCGTAAATGACATCTATGATCACTCAAAGTTTTGCTATACACCAATATATTATCTTGAAAAACAATGACAGATTTGTCCAGATAAGGGCGAAAGATATCGTTCATCAATCTCATGAATGTAGTTGGTGCATTAGTGAGACTAAAAGACATCACTAGATACTCAAAGTGTCCATACCTAGTACGAAAAGCTGTCTTGTGGACATCTTTATCTGCAATTCAAATTTGATTATAGCCGCTTCTCAAATCTAGCTTGGTGAAGTACTTCGCTCCTTGAAGTTGATCAAACAAATCATCCATACGAGGTAATGGATATTTGTTTTTCACCGTTTGCTGATTCAAACCTCGATAATCGATGCATAGTCTCATGAATCCATCCTTCTTTTTCACAAAGAGCACTGGGGCTTCATAAAGTGAAACAGTTGGTTGAATGAATCCATTGCTCAACATCTCATCCACTTGATCTTTGCATTCTTCCAATTCGTTTGGAGCCAAACGATATGGAGCTTTGCAAGTTGGTGTACTTCCAGGTATCGCCTCTTTGATGGTAATCTTGTAGTTAGATCATCTTGAAAAACATCTTTAGACTCCATAAAAATGTCGTTCAACGACTCTGGGATGTAAGGTTTGTCCGTGGACCCGATATTTCTTATAAGTCCAAGGAAACATACATCATCTTTAGAAATGGATGATGTACCCATCACAAAGAGGGATAAATTCCTATTCTGAGATATAATTCTATCTTTATAGATCTTCTATCCACGACTTGTAATCACTTTTCTTCTCCAATCTAGTTTCGGATTATATCGCTCCATGGCATTCAAAGGATGACATTATATCGAACTAAACGAATTTTTCTTCATTCAATGCTCTCCTTGTATCTACCTATGGATAATTCTACACTCAGTGGTAGTGTTTCTATCATTTCAGTTTGCCCGTTTGGCAATTCAACTTCTTCACTAACATCCTTCATTAACATCAAATCTAACTTCATAGCAACAATCCTTGATAGAAAATTCTCAGTTCCTCCATGATCAATTAAAACTCTCACCTTGTGTACTTCCATGAAACCATTAGTGACAATGAGTTGAGCTTGCTTCTTACTCCTTCCATGAACTTCCAACCATTGCCTTCTTCCAACCTCGCATTTTCTTTGTTTTGTAGAACCAGTAAGACCGCGAGTCAAGTTTACTGGTGATCTTCGTTTCCCAAAATTTCTTCCTCCACCTCTTCATACTCTATACCCTCTATATTGTTGAACGGTTGTCGCTACATAGGCCGTACTCCTTGTGGTGTCGGCCGAATTCGACAAAA